CACTGGCCTTACTCTTGAGGTGGCAGAGGGGTGTTTGTTTGTGCCCTCATTTTCATTCTACAAATCATCTCTCTACATCCTTGATGGTCCAACTTAATGAAAAACTCTGTCAGTTCCTCAGCTAAGGTTATCTGTAGAGGTTGGAAGGTACAAAAGTTGTTTGCCATGTACCCAACAGCTGTCCCTTAGTAGTCTTCTTTTCTTTTAAAGAAATCACAGTGGTAACCTTTTTGTTTTCAAAATGAAGGACTTCACTTAAAAAAGAAGTTTCCCTGGCTTCCCATCCCTCAGTTAAAGCTTGGAGAACGATATCATGAGACATAACCTACTGAATAGCTCAGCTGGTAAGAGCATGGTGCTGATAATGCCAAGGATGCAGGTTCAATCCCCATTATATATACAGTGGTACCTCGGGTTACAAATGCTTCGGGTTACAAACTCCGCTAACCCGGAAGTAGTTGCTCCGGGTTGTGAACTTTGCCCCTGGATGAGAATGGAAATTGTGTGCTGGCAGCAGCAGGAGGCCGCATTAGCAAAAGCGTGCCTCAGGTTAAGAACAGTTTCGGGTTAAGAACGGACCTCTAGAACGAATTAAGTTTGTAATCTTAGGTACATATATATATCACCATTTTTTCCCCTCACCACGGGGACTGACTTCCGGGTCGGACAAGCACCAGAAATAGCATGTGTGCACCGAGAGGTCTGCCTGGGAGTAGACTGGACCAGCCTCAGAAAACTTTGCTGACCCCTGGACTAGATTATCCTCAGGGTCCTTTCCAATTCTATGATTCTAACTCCTCCAGGGGTTTGTTTTATTTTATTTTAATTTATTTTCTTCCATTTATAGTCAACCTTTTCCCCCATCATGGGATCCAATGTGGTGTAGTGGTCAGAGTGCTGGACTAGGGCTAAGACCTGGGAGACCAACGTTCAAATCCCCATTCTTCCCTGAAGCTCCCTGGGTGACTTTGGACCAGCCACTGTCTTTTAGCTGAACCTACCTCACAGGGTAGGGACGCGGGTGGCACTGTGGTCTAAACCACTGAGCCTAGGGCTTGCCGATCAGAAGGTCAGCGGTTCGAGTCCCCGCGATGGGGTGAGCTCCCGTTGCTCAGCCCCTGCTCCTGCCAACCTAGCAGTTCGAAAGCACGCCAAAGTGCAAGTAGATAAATAGGTATCACTCCAGCGGGAAGGTAAACTGCATTTCCGTGCGCTGCTCTGGTTCACCAGAAGCAGCTTAGTAATGCTGGCCACATGACCCGGAAGCTGTACTCCCTCAGCCAATAAAGTGAGATGAGCACTGCAACCCCAGAGTCGGTCACGACTGGACCTAATGGTCAGGGGTCCCTTTGCCTTTACCTTACCTCACAGGGTCGCTGCAGGGATCAAATAGAGAGGCAGGGAAACCATGCCTGCTGCCACCTTGAGCTCCTTGGAGGAAATCTGATAAATAAAGACCTGCGGTTCCCATCTGAGCACTGATCGGTTCCCATCTCAAGCACTTTCCCATCTGAGCACTGATGAGACCCAGGGCTGCTTATATTCCTATATCTTCAAACCATACCTCCAACCAGCTGTGGAGGCTGCAGAGAGCTGGCAATGTGCTTAATGGAAAATAACACACATACACACACACAACCCTTGACCATCTCATACCGCTAATGAAAGCTGAACCCTGCACCCATCCTTTTTTAAAAAAATAAAAATAGAATCTAAATCACCGTGCAAATGAGGCAGAAAAACAAAGGCCACTTTCTTAGGGTAAGAAAGCTTCTAAAAAATTGAAGGGCAAAGCACAGAGTAGTGCTACTTCTTAATGGGTGGGTAGATGAACTAAGGTCTTCCGAAATCTGTCTACCGGATATAGAGCCAACCTATCCAGCTATCTTCTTAAGTTTAGCGAAGTTTAATTAACACTCCGCTGAGAGTTGAACTTTGATATAATTTAGCAATTGAGGCTCATTTTAGGCTCATTTTAATTAGCTGGCAAGAAGCGGCTTGTTCCACAAAGTGCATAGGTTCGCAGCCAATGATAGTTTTAGTTAGTTAGAGGCTGTGAGGGAGTCTCCTTCCTTGGGAGGGGCAGGGGGGAGGAGAGGCTGCCGCTGCCAAGGCCCAGCCCCATAAGACACACTGGCTCTAAGGGGAAGGCAAGGCCAGGGCCATCTTAAGCATATCCAGCACAGTGGTGCAAAGATCCCTCCGGCGCCTCCCCCCTTTCCCAGTGTTGTTGACCTTTTCCCAAGCCTCTGCGGGGATTGCTTTCCTCCCACTAAGGCTTGGGAGGCAAGCTTCACACCCGCCAACCATATAGTTCGTGGGGCGCAGCTTCCATCTGAAGCCTCTGCAGGGATCGCTCTCCTCCCGCGGAGGCTTAGGAGGCAAGCTGCATGCCCACCAGCCATATGGTTGATGGGGCACAGCTGGCGGGCGTGCAGGGAAAGGGGAGGCCGCCGGCAAAGCGATTAAGGAGTTTTCTCAGGGCAGTGGAGGGTATGTGTGCTGGATCCCACTGGTGTAGCAGTGGTGGCACTCAAAGTTCTTCTGATAGGAAATTCTCTATGGGAGGGCATGGGGACACACAAAAATGGGGGGTTGAGGAGGACCAGTTGTGGGGCAAAGTGAGAAATACTCCTATTTTCATCTGAGGAATGTTGAAGGATATGGCAGTGCGGCTTAACAATCCAGGTATGACCAACCCTTCCTAGTAGGAAAAAAACCACCAGATTGTTTCAAGTAAATCTTGTATTCTAATGCAAAAGAATGAAAAGTTGAGAATACATGGTAGGTGATTGGCTAGGTGATTGACAGAATAGTAGGTGATTGACAGAATAGTATTATTGGATTCCATCAAACTATAAACCTACCACTTTCTCAATACCATTTATTTATTTATAAATAAATAAATATAAATAAATAAAACCTCTCCCAAGCTTGCCTCATACTATCTTGGAAATGTTCTGTGAACTTCTCCAAAGAGTAGGACTCAGTCAGTCCCTTGGTCCATCTACCACAGTGTATATCAAAGAGGTTCATGACAGCTACACATAAAACCTTGCAATAAAAAGCATGTGAGAAAGTCAAAATTGGAAATCAGATATTATGAAAAGATGCATTCTTAATTACCTGACAGAATAGACAGTTTTTCAGAAGGGGTTTAAAAGTTGAAACAGAAGGCACCTGCTGAATTTCTATGTTTTGGGGGTTTTGGATGGTAATATGAAGATTGCAGTCTCCTTTTCCAACCATCCCAATAGGCACCAAATCAATGAGGTGCTATCTTCCATGAATATCTAAGGGTTAGCAGCTGCCCCGTTGTTCGGCTGAGGTTCATTCTTCCTATTTCAGGAGGAAAGTAGAAAGACAGGGCAGAGCAGAGCAACATTTCTCAGTTATCCTTTCCCAGTCCCTATAAATAGCACATGTAACACCCTTTTCCACTCACACGATAAAAATAATTTTCTCTGTTCATTTGCAAGTCCTATGCCCCCTCCCCCTGATCTCACAGGCAATTTGCCGTCCTTCCATTTATTGTGTGATTATTAAAACCAACACTCAAACCGGCAAATATCTGGGGGAAGTGCAAATTTCTTTAGTGAGGCAAGTTAGTTAGCTGTAAAATGCATTGTGACGATTCTGTGAAACTAATTGCTTTTGTAACTTTTGCTTCTGTTCCTAACATTTTGCCCCTTCCATCAACACAAAACTAGTATATTGAATCACTCCAACAGTGAACTATGCTAAAACTGGTATTAGCCTCTCTCTCTTTTTAATTAAAAAAGGTAGGGCAATATCATGCAGTTGGAACCTACAACGAGACATTGCAATGTATCTTTAGTTTCAAGGTGCTCCTCTTCAAGGTTTCTTCCTTCCAACCAGCCATGCCCTCATCCAGATACTTACTCTTAAATGGAAGCCCAGGATGGGCATTCCACTCCAAGCTTTTTTCCTGTTCCACCCTGGATCCATTGCATGCGACACTGTGGCTGTTCCACTGCAATTCGTCTTCCACACAAAACTATGCTATTCATCTCACTGCCTACTGGTTTTGAATTTATGTAACCTACATGATTAAGTGCACAAGTGACCTTGTTGCGTTTTTCCACTCCATTCATTTCAGTACAAGGGAAACACAATGCCAATGGACAAAGAAAGGTCATCAGTTACGTACTGTTTGCAAACAGAAAGCAACAGCAACCAATCACATTCACTGGATTGATTTCCATTCCAGGCATGGGACGACTAAGCAAACAACAAACCTGAAATGCAATGCCATACAGTGGTATCTCAGGTTGCATACGCTTCAGGTTACATACGCTTCAGGTTACAGACTCCGCTAACCCAGAAATAGTGCTTCAGGTTAAGAACTTTGCTTCAGGAGGCCCCATTAGCTAAAGTGGTGCTTCAGGTTAAGAACAGTTTCAGGTTAAGAACGGACCTCCAGAACAAATTAAGTACTTAACCCGAGGTACCACTGTTGTTTGGAATTCACTGTTATGTATTTATGAATTTGAATCTGAAGTTGACCTGATATGAGAAATGTATTGCACATCTATCACACATTGACTGCTGCTGTATGTTGGCAGTCAAATGCTGATGGCTGCAAGTGAGATTTGATGAAGTCTTGAGCCCTAGACCTGGACATGAGTGTTAATAGTGCCTGTATTCAGCAAAACAGGAACAAGGATCCTGGTTATGCTGTAAAGACCCACCTTGATGCCAAACCGGGAGCCGGGAGCTGGTCAGCAATAACTCACATGTCAGTGAAGTGAACTCTTTATTCCAAGAAACAAAAGAGCTCAGGCTTAGTGAGCACAACAACTCTTCCCAGTAGGCTTTGCCACAAAATCTTCCTGCTCACCAGGACTACGTTTCTACACCCCTGACCTAGGATGCTGGGCTTGGGGGTGGAACTCAACAGCTAAAACAACAGTAATTCAACCAATTTTTCTTCATTTGAAAAGATGGCAATACTTACTTTTGTGATCAGCATTGCAGCATTGTTTATTTTTATTATGAGTACATTTTCAAACAACAGTTGCCCATTCAGTGGAATCAGCTTGCATTGAAGTGATCTGTGTGCTTGTGGTCAGGGATAGGATGACGGGGACAAGCCATGCATCCAATCTGTGCATTAATCAACTGTGCTTTGAATGCAGTCAGAAAAAAAGGTATTCAATAGAGGGCCACTGAGGATGCTCCTCACCTGGGGCACTCTTTGGTCTAGGGCCAGCACTGAGGGCACCTGTACACGTGGATGCTGTTTTCTCTAGTTCAGGATACCTGAGGTCAGTAGAAAGCACTCCTCTGTTATCCACATACAATAAGGGCAAAGTGATAGATTTCTATAACTTATACCAAAGGTGGCTCATAAAAGGGCTTTATATTGCTTTCAAGTTGCAGGGCTACAGTGGAACATCACTGTTCTTCTGTGTCTGAAAAAACCTCTGTCAAGCTGATGCCTTCTGGATGTTCAAAAACTGCTCCAGAACATCTGAAGGGCAGCACATTGGAGAAAGTGGCGAATCATATATAGTCCATGGTCTCTCACAAAGCTAGGAAGTTCTTGGCTTACATCCAGAGACTGGTTCAGGCCTGAGTACAAATCAACTGTCCTGTTCTCCTTACTCTACCTAGCTGGAAGAACTATTGTAAATCCCATTTGGGCCTTCCTGGCAGCAGTGGTTTTTCAGGGTCTGCAAGGTCATTAAGAAAGTTACATTCAAGCAGAAATTCATTGATGTACAAATGACTAAAACAATAACCCCACAAATCATCCGATTTCTGCTGACACCCTCAAGGCAACACCGTTCAGTTTTCCGAAACAGTGACTGCACTCATGGTATCATCTCGGCTGAGACTCTTCTGAAATCACTGATAAAAGTTGAAATCCAGGCAAAAAGCTCTTCTGAGTCTCGATCTTCTGCTTCCCCAAATTTCATCTGCAAGATAATAATAACAATAAAGACTAGATGTTTACTGTTATTCACATATGAACCATGTAAAGATTATTGTGGATTGAAGAGATCAGGCAAGAGTGACGAGCTGAAATATAGCCTGCTTCCTCTAGGTGAGTGTAGGGTTTGTCACAATGAAGGCCCGGGAAGCAAAATGGCACTTAAACTGTGTTGGAACGTTCTGTTACAAAAAGCCAAACCCAAATGGTTTACAAGCAGAATTTATTGCTGGAAGCATTTTGAATACAAATGGTATAAGGATGGCAACTGATGGCAGGAAGGTCAGAATAAGCAGATCCACCACATTGCAGAAATGCTATTCCATCCTCTATGTTCTCTCCTGCATTTCCCACATGTATCTTAAAGTGAGAATCAGGCCTCTTTATGATCAAAATATACAGGACCCAACACACTTAAACAAGGACAATTGCCTCTACATTTCTAAGATGCCATGTACTGATTCCTTATTGATATGTATTGTTGCATGCCATGCCAATCTCCAAGCAAGTGTGAGATTCCAGGGGTCCCAGGCACTCACCCAGGATTCGTATTTCCTTTTGGAAATAATAATAATAATAATAATAATAATAATAATAATAATAATAATAATAATATCTTTATTGTCATTGCCCCCTCTCGGGGATAACAAAATTACTTGGCTGCTCCATCCACCCAGGTAGGGCACTCCACACAAAATCAAAACAACTATAAAAACACTAATTAAAACAATACAGTATAATACAGCAAGGAAGATTAGAGGAAATGAGGCACAGTGGTGACTGTGGTGTCTATATGATATATGGTTTACTTACACATATATACAACCTGAGCCTATGCGGTGAAATTTTTCATAGCAGAACAGTAAGGGCCAGAGGCACCAGCTTGTGAGGATGACTGTGGGAGGATGTGTGCATGATGTCACAAAGTTGTGCATGTGAGCGTCGCACCTCTTTCCCAAGCTGGACAGGAGCTTCTGAGGCTTTGGGAACAAGGCGCCAGGGAAACATTTAGGGGACTGGCCTAGTCCTAATCTCACACCATTGTATAGGTCATTTTGGTGACTGTTTCACAATGATGGATTTCCCTTCTCTTGAGAGGCACCCTAATTTGAGCCCAGGCATCATTTGAAAGAATACTAGATTTTAAAAATTATTTCCATCACTATTTGGAATTAAATACCGTAATGGGCAGTTAGCTTATTTCACTTGCACAACAAAAATTAAAAGCAAGGATTTACTCTTGAATTACACCCGTAATATATAATCTTTGAGAAATTCTAAATCACATCAAATTCCTTTTCGATTATTATTCCAGTAATTCAGAAAGTAGATACTATTAATTGAATACATAAGCACACCTGTATCCTCAATGCATTCCCTAATTAAAATTAGGATAGTTAACTTGTCAACTTCATCTGTTTCTCACAGTTTGTTCAACCAATCCACTGCCCTAAGTGAGAAAATCACATTAACATTTTTAAGCTATTTGGAGAAAGAACAATTTGGCCAGAGTTAACAAGTTAGCCATTAAATCCATACTTGGAATTTGCCCAGTTCTTGGATGCAGCATAAGGAAAAGCTATCTCTGTCTGTCGTTGGTTATATCTACAACATTCTATATGTCTTAACCTGCAATTTCTGCCCCAAGCATTTAGGATAAGAAAAGGGAGATGGAAAGAAATATTGCCATCTTTTTTCTGGTGGAGGCTCTGTGCTTTTCACAATTGCATTATATGGGTGGGATGATGAGGATTGAGGTACAGCTCTTAGGGGTCCAGAACAGCCTTTCTCAACCTACTGCCCTCCAGATGTTTTGAACTACAATTCCCATACGCTCCAGTTGGCATTACCATCCAAACCAGCTGAAGGGTGTCCAGAGTCTATCTCAAGAGAAAATGGTAGAACTTATGGTCAGCTCAAAGGAGGGCAACAAATATTTATTCATTTAGCCAATATATGTGCCATTTGTTCAAAGGATTTTTTCCTAAAAATGGTGACCACTAAAAGAAGTTACATAAAACAATACATAATTCCAAACATCCAAACTGTTCAATACAGTCAAATAAGTACTAATGCAAAAGATGGTGAGGGACCCCCGGGCCCGGGAACGTCCTGCCTCGGTGCCTGTGTAAGAGCTGCGGAGTTTGACAGCTGTCAAAGCTGCCAAACGGTCGGTTTAAAGTGCAAAAATTGTCATCTCTGGACTAAGACGAGTTACAATTGAGCTAAAATCGTTGGAAACAAAGTAATAATAATCAGTGAAAGGATTGTTGGTGAAAAGGCTAATAAGTAACCAGATTCCCCCTAGGGGGAATTCTGTGAAACTACAATGGATACAATGGCTGTGGAAGGAAAGTTACTGGTGGAAATTGAAAGGATGTTTCAATTGGTGGGAACTTTACAAGAGCAGAGCTTGGCCATGAATAAACAGCTTGAGACTATGACCTTGGGAACAGGCAACTCTGCTCTTTGTATTGAGGACCTCAACGAGAAAGAATTCACAGCTGAATGGGAAACAATACCTACAGAGTTGGAAGAGACTAAACAACAAGAAAAAGAAGAAGTAATCCTGGGAAGTAACAACCAAAAGTTGACATCTGCGGAACATAAGCAAGGAAACGCTGGGAACATATCTACTACAAGTCTGCGAAAGATACAGAAGAAGAAGAAGGAGGTCCCGGGACAAAATGGAACACAGAAATTTAAAATAAAGAAATATGCTTGGGGCCTCCGTTTGGACTTTGATCTTGAAGAGATAGACTTTGTGGAAATTCTTCAGCAGTTACTTTTGAACCCCCTTGTGGGAAGAGGAAACACTTTGATGGTGAAAGAACTTTTCCCAGACTTGATGACTGACATAAAGGACTACCAACGGGACAGGCGGAGAGGGACTGAAAGGGATTTGAAAGCCTCGGACGTGAGGAACCCAGGCTGAGAAATTCGAATTTGGATTTTTATTGGGAAGGGACAAAAACCGGGGATGGGAGGGAGGGAAGAAGAGACTCTTAAAAACTCTTAAGACTTTTAGGTTTGGTTAATATGACTCTTAATTAAGATAAAATGAAAATCGATGGAAGAGAACTTAAGTCCAACTTAGGAAAATTAATTTTTATTATAAAACAAGGTGATGAATACATTGTTAGAGGGAGTACCAATCTTGAACTGGAGCACGATGGGAGTGGGGAGTCAGGGAACAAGTTATGGTGGTATTTTATACATGTTTTGTCTTTTTCTTTTCTGTGTATGGTTTATAAAACAGAAACAATAATTTATTTAAAAAAACAAAAGATGGTGAGGGACCTGGAGTCCAATCGCTATAAGGAAAGCTTGGATATATTTTGTCTGGAGAAAAAATGGTGGAGAGGCATTGCAAAAGCATTTTTCAGATATACGGGCTGTTGTGGCATGCCCATGTTAGAATCAGAGAAACTAGAAGTCAGGGTGGAAGGATCTGTCACTTTTGGTTCTCCCAGTTTCTTATTTTTCTGATCTTAAATTCAGTTCTCCACATTCTGCAGCCATAAAAAAAACCCCTCATGAAAATCCATCAGTGTTTTAGTAGAAATTTCACCTAATAAACACATCTTTATATGAAGTTTTCACTAATGTACACATTTTTTCCAAACAATTTGCCCTAATATAATGTATTTCTTTGTTATGCTTTCACCAATATATTTATTTATTGTATTGCCCTTAATATATGCATTTTTAAAACATTACTTGGTGAACTGCATAGCAAAATTCAGATGAGTGCAAATTTTGAAAGGTAGCTATGTTTCGGTTCACATATTTATTTATTTTTTGGAAAGTGAGAATTTAATAGATTCTGCTTCAGATGAAATCAAATTTCTCCTTCATACCAAGCTGGAACCTCACTACTGATCCCTCATCAAATAACCATACAGCATTGCTTAAAAAGCAAACTCACACTATGGAATTTGTTCCTACTTCTAAGCAAAGTGAGGACTGTGAAGTTGCATTATGGCCCATCATCAATTGCACAGAATGGTTTCAGCAAAGTCTCCTTATCCTTTGTTCTGATGGTCGATTGATTATTCATTTGCTCTGTTTCTCTTTATTTTGGCGTATCAATAAAACGCATAATCTGACAACAGACTCTTACAGGGACCCAAAGCAAAGAGTCACAAATCATTCCAAATCTAATTCACTCACCAATCAACTAAACTTCCTCTATCAGTGACTAATCAATAGCTCTCACAATGAGCTCCTAATTGCACCTCTGGGGTGATGGAAGCCTGTAGATGATAACACAGCCCACGAAAGGCTTGCCAATAATTAAGCAGTAGTGAAGAAAAGATACTATTTCTACAGCTAACGACCAAACATCTAGAAGGTGTTGATCTCCAGCGGAGTAAATTGAAGGCAATCCTACGCAAATCAAATGTTAATCCCATCATATCTCCTTATGATGAAGCACGCACACACACACCAAAATTGGGGAGTAACAAGTGCAGCAACCAATAGATTTATCTACATACAGCTGATAATGCAGCTGCTACCAAGAGCTGCGGGATACTCTTAGGAGTATTGACAGGCTTGGGAACTCTGTTTGCTATAGATGTTCAGTGGAAAGAGTAGCACATCCAACCAATGCATGTGCTTGTTTGGCTGCTTGTTTTATAAATAGTCCCTTATGAGCATCCTATCAATAAGTATTAATTATTAATTATTAATTATTAATTATTAATTATTAATTATTAATTATTAATTATTAATTATTAATTATTAATTATTAATTATTAATTATTAATTATTAATTATTAATTATTAATTATTAATTATTAATTTTATTATTTATGCCCTGCCCATCTGGTTGTGTTTCCCCAACCACTCAGAATAAAATGTTCAAATCCAAGAAGCAAAACAAACCCCAAAAAATCTGAGCATTGAAAAATTGAAGGGAGGCGGAGAAAAATTGTGCAAGACAATTTAGACAAACCCCATCCAGCTTTTGTTTAGAATGCTAGTTGCTTAAAATGTGATTTATTTATTTTTTAAAAGTAGTCATTAGTCACCAAAATGCCCACCAGGTAATTCTGTTCTGGGAAGGCTGTTCTATAGCCAGAAGAGTACAACCTCAAAGGCTGTAACATAGTAGTCTGTAGTTGCACAGTTTAATTCAAAAGCTATAGTAATGATATGGCTTGAAGCTTCTGAACAGCTGCTGTGTCAGTGTTCTGCAACAGATTTTTAAGCACCCATTTGAAATGGGTGGAAAATCACAGCCTCCAGGTAGAATCCAACAAAGATTAGTCTTAACTCATACTGCAGACTTAGGCACACCTACTCAGAAGTAAACCTCAGTGAGACTCAATGGAAATACAATACACTAGTGATGCGAAGGGGTTGCATCAGCCTGACTCATACTTCCTGAACCAATAAACAAACTGAAACACACCTACCATTTGAAATTCATAGTTCTCCAAATTTTGTGAAGAAGGTCTCCATTATTTGAGTGAAAACAATGTGATAACCCAGGAACGTTGCTTGCAAATATGCGCGTAGAAAGAAAAATGCACTTAAAAAGCAAATAATTTGTGTGTGAGAGAGAATTTTTAAAATAAAGTGATGCAGAAATGAGGGGGAAATGAAACAGAGAGAAACTGAAATCAACGGATCCATCCAACTTTGCATTCTGTTGACTTTCATAGCATTGGCTTCCTATCAAGCATGCGCAGGATTGCAACCTTAAGGTATGGTTATGGTTACCAGATTTTTTTCAATGAATTCAGGGACCCTTTTTTTTTTTTTTTTTTAGCTGAGTAGCAACAGGGAATCAGTAGTGGGGATGGTGAGGCAAAAGACCCTGGGCCCAAGCACACATGCATATTGTATAAAGGTGCAAAGCCCTTCTTTCGCACCCTGTGAAGCATGAATGCACAGAGGTTTTTTAAAAACTGGGCAACGGCATGCTGCCCACCCATGACGCCCGAGCCTAGCCCTTTGTTTTGACAGATTGGGGGAGGCTTGGGAGTCATGGGTGGGCAGCCATTGCCCAGGAGGGGCGCAAGGCACACGGTTTCTCTGCCAGGCAAGGTGCAATGCCCTTCTTTTGCACTCTGTGAAACATAAATGTGCAGAGTTTTTAAAAAACTGGGCAACAGCTGCCCGCCTGCGACTCCCGAGCCTCCCCAGATTGTCCAAACAAAGGGGGAAGGGGGCAGGAGATCAGGATAGGATCGGGAGTAGCAGGTGGGCAGCGCGCCGTAGCCTAGTTTTTAAAAACCTGCACATTTATGTTTCACAGGGTGTGAAAGAACTGCTTTGCACCTTGCCCGGTAGAAAAACTGCACACAAGACACATCATATGGGAACTTCCGGAGAGGAAAAATGGCGGGCGCCACAGCAGCGAGCAGCTCCTGAAGCCAGCCAGAGCCAACTTCACTACCAGGCTGGCTCCGGGCTGCTGAGGCTGCCGTTGCCACGTTTCCCGGGGACAGATTTGCAAATCTGGGGACATTCCGGGGACAGAATTTGTCCGGGGACAGATATGCAAATCCAGGGACTGTCCCCGGGAACCGGGGACGGCTGGTAAACCTACCTTAAGGTGCAGAGCAGAAAGAGCTTGCTGAGTAAGGCTGAGACCCTACACTAGCTTCCTGGCAGGTGAATTATTGATACTTACTATGAGGAGGATGGGTGAGGCATCAGGGAGTCTGGCGTGGTGCAAATGCCCCAGCCGAATCAGTCCAACACTCCTGCCAGTGCACTATGCATGGTCCCCTTTTCCTCTCAGTAAACAACAGTGACCCACCCTCCAGGAAGCTGGCAAAACAGCTCCGCTCCCTCTAGGAAGCTGCTTCTGGTGCAGAGCATATTCAATGTTATTTGCAGATGAGAATGTGTATGTAGAGAGGTGATTGCTTCTCAGTTTTACATAAAACATTACAGAAAGGGATGGTGAGGCCCCTCAAGCATTTGGGAGCATCATCTGAACAGGAGCAGAAGATTAAAGCAATGCTGGACCCAGAAAAATGCAATTAGTGAGGTTTTACTGAAAATAACCTTTTCATAAGAATATGTCAAGGTCTTTTTCAGTGTCTCTCTTGTCTTTTATTTTAAAAAGTGTAGCTACACAGTGGCATAGCAAATTAGATTTGAGAGTTATCATTTGTGATCCAAGGCTGCATCCTCAGTACATGTGATGTGGGGAAAGGCATGGAGATACATGGAGTGTAGAAAAAGCTTTAGTGTAAGCAGTTGCCTTTCATATCACCAAAGAACCCACACAAGGGAGAAAACATTTAAATGCACGCAGTGTGGAAAGAGCTTCAGTCTAAGCAGTCAACTTATTTTACATCGAAGAACCCATGCAGCGGGAAAACCATATAAATGCACAGAGTTTCAGGAGAGCTTTCGTGGGAGCTGAAACCTTACCCAACATTAAAAACCACAGATGGGAGAATTCACCTAAACCCGAAAAGTTGCTGTGGTCCAAGAGGTGGCTTTGGAACATAGTCCCAGGAGGTAACCACCTCTCGGGAAAACTCTTGCCCCAGTGGGCTCCCCAGAGCAAAACATTTTGAACCAGGATAGTCTTTTCTTGGCAGGACACCCAGGAAAGGAGGAGGAGTTTGCAGGTACTAGGGAGAGACTGGGGGAGGGGTAATGAGATCCACCTGCTCTCCCACCTTTCATAACCTTTGTTCCCATACTGAGAATAGCAATCCCAACCAGATAAGTCTCTGAAGAACATGGAGCATAGCCTCTGATGGGGACCTTTTCCAGTCTGAAGGCCACAGGGCCTTATGGGAAGGTTTCCAGGGGCCACATGACAGTGGTGGGCAGAGCCAGAGGCAAAAGTGGGTGGGGCAACAAATGTGAATCTTACAGTAGGCTAATTATTACAAATACTCTCACAGCCCTCTCTGTACTCCATCCAAACAAGCAAGAAACATCACTGGAGCTCAAGGAGATGTTCCAGCCAGGCAACACTCAAGGAGTCAACTAGAGAGGCCTGGAAAGCTATGTTTGATCTCCAAGCCCAAAGGATAAATGATGGTCTTTCCAACAGCCATGGTCTAAGCCATTTAGGGCTTTATACATAATCACCGACACCTTGAATTGTGCTTGGGAACTTTGGCTCACAGTCTAAGTAGTCAAGCACCATGGAGGTTACCAAGGGCCTGGTGAAATCTAACCATCTCAGGCTGGCTCAGATGTCTACAGCAGAAAGTAAGAGCCATGATGGGTGTGATCTGAGGCGGGGCTCACCGGATCCTAGCCTTGGAACCTCTTCCCAACAACATCAGAGTTCATCCTTGGGCTGCATGGAACGGTAATAAAGAAGAGAGCATATGTAGAGCACCTTTTCTTCTTTACGGAATAACTAGCATCCACCCTGCAAGCTCGTCATCCATACTTCCTCCATTGACAAACAGAGCAGAAAGAAGAAGAGGAGGAGTTTGGATTTGATATCCCGCTTTATCACTACCCGAAGGAGTCTCAAAGCGGCTAACATTCTCCTTTCCCTTCCTCCCCCACAACAAACACTCTGTGTGGTGAGTGTGGCTGAGAGACCTCAAAGAAGTGTGACTAGCCCAAGGTCACCCAGCAGCTGCATGCGGAGGAGCGGAGACGCGAACCCGGTTCCCCAGATTACGAGACTACCGCTCTTAACCACTACAACACACTGGCTTTGGAGCTTAGCTGCAGCAGCTCTCACATTGCTAAAGGCAACATCCAAAGTGGCCTTCACCCCAGCAGTCATTGCCACTGCAAGAACATGAACTTGAAACATAAAGTAGGTACAGCATTTACAGTCAAGATGTGCAAAGAGAGTGCAATGCGTTGAGATTTACCACAGCTTGGAAAATTATGGAGAATTGTTTTGCATCCTTCTTCTTGCATACTACTTTGCATTAGCCATGCATTCATCATATTTTTTTTAATTGGATTCATCACCCGTGAAAGGAAATTCAAAGATAATAAGTGTTGATGCAAAGAGTCACTTCATTCAGGAAATGCATTAGGAATCTCCATACAATAAAGGTTTTTGTCTGTGTCACTTAGTGTTATTTGCTAGAAGTCCCTGTTACTTTAATTAAGTATTATTTATTTATTTTGAAAAAGCACTGAGACACGTTAAGGTAAACTGTGCAAGTTGATTAAATGAACAGCAGCAATCTGATTTAAAACATAGATGGTGCATTCCTAAGCATAGTTAGTGGAACAGAAGAAATGCCTCCTATATGCAATGAGATTTACTCCCATGTAATACATGTATGCAGGACTGCTGCCTTCAATAATTACCTAATCCAGTGCATATTTACTCAAAAGTGCACTGTTCTCAAGAGCTCGCTCCCTAGAATGGGTGTTTGAGAATGCAGCCTAAACGCTGCACTAAGAATCATATTTGTCAAAGGTGATATTTCTCTGCATTTCTAGAGGTCACTGTTGATAAGAAAACAGCTTATTTGACACTTATATTTTAAAATAAAACGTACCAGTATGTTGTGATAGGCCTTTTTCATTTCTTGACAGCTTCTAAATAACTGAGAAAGGTCGCCTTCATATGCCTGAATCAAATCCTGAAACATAAAGCACAATCTGGAATGAGTGTCACATTAAAGTCTAATGCGACCTCAAAGCCACTTACAAACATCAATAAAAAAAGATCACAAACACTGGGTTGGAGGGAGTCAAACTTGAATGTTCAGAATTCGCACACACATGCACCACACTCAGACACACACACACACACACACACACACACAGGCATCCTCCACTCCTTTAACTTGTCCATCATAGTGGTGGGGTGAGAGGAAGGCTTAAGCAAGGAGTGGAGAACCTCAGGCCATCCTGCAGACCTTCCCTGTCAGGATTCTTCTCAGGCCATGCCCTTCTCCAATCCACACCCCTCACCAGGTGTGCTCTGCAGCCTCCTTCAATGCTTTTGCCTGGCTTGAAGGTGCCCATGAGCTGGGAGAATACTTCTTGCTCGCCTGAATGGAGAAATGTGAGTGTGGCCTCCGTGTGGAAGGAATGTAAGGTAAAGGGACCCCTGACCATTAGGTCCAGTCGTGACCGACTCTGGGGTTGCGGCGCTCATCTCTCTTTATTGGCCGAGGGAGCTGGCGTACAGCTTCTAGATCATGTGGCCAGCATGACTAAGCCGCTTCTGGCGAACCAGAGCAGCGCACGGAAATGCCATTTACCTCCCCGCCAGAGCGGTACCTATTTATCTACTTGCACTTTGACGTACTTTCGAACTGCTAGGTTGGCAGGAGCAGGAACCGAGCAATGGGAGCTCAGCCCATCGTGGAGATTTGAACCACCGACCTTCTGATTGGCAAGTCTAGGCTCTGTGGTTTAACCCACAGCGCCGCCTGCGTCCCTGGAAGGAATGTAGCCTACCATAAAAGATGCAGCTTTCCATTTTTGCCACTGGCCCCAGCTCCTGGAAGGTTGCCCACAAGGGAATGTAGGCTTCACACTGTAAAGGGTCCCCCACTCAGGTTTAAACAAACTATCCATCACACAGGACCACGTTGAGAGCAGAAGTTCAAATATCTCCTCTCATACCAGCACTAGGAAAGGGCACAAGCCCACCATGTTATCTGCTAACAACCCTAACCAGAGGTCCAGCTCCGAGGGCCTTCTGGCTGTTCCCTAACTGTGAAAAGTGAAGTTACAGGGAACCAGGCAGAGGGCCTTCTCGGTAGTGACACCTACCCTGTGGAACGCTCTCTCTTCAGATGTCAAGGAAATAAACAACTATCTGACTTTTAGAAGACATTTGAAGGCAGCGCTCTTTAGGGATGTTTGATATTTTATCATGTTTTTAATATTCTGTTGAGAGTCACCCAGAGTGGATGGGGAAAGCCAGCCAGATGGGTAGGGTATAAATATCATCATCATCATCATCATCATCATAACAATCACATCTGCTTGGAAGTAAGTTCTATTCTATTCAATGAGGCTTGCTCCCAGGTAAGTGGTACTAGGATTGCAGACATAGTATTTTAATTTTTAAAAAACATTGTTATGCTGTGTATCATTCTTCTCTGTATTCATTTGATAATGATGATGATGATGATATTTATTTTAGCAAATTGACACATGCTAGCCAGCTGCTTATCTCACCATGGTATAAGTATGAACTGGGCTGTAAATAGATAATAAATTCAATTCCAGTAATAACCCTCTGAAACGCTATTCCTCAAGGTCAGAGAACCCTCTGGTGTGGCATTCAAAGAAATGCATATGGCTACAGCTAGAGGAAAAATTGGCAATACACAATCACATAGACATGAGTCTGTGGCATACACAGAGGATTATTGATCAAGACTGACAATTGGCTTGGCTATACCAAATTACACGACAGGTCATCTTCAGATCCTGGACAAAGAAGGAAAATGTTCCACTGCAGTGATGTCTTTGATTGTGGGCTTAGGATAAACTTTAAGCAATAGCAGTAACATGTTCTCCTGGAGCAGTAGGGTAATTGGCAGCATCTCCTTGCTCTGGCAAGTGATGGTGAGGCTTTCAAGCTTTCTTCTTATGTGTGACAACTTGAAGCTAGTCATAGGATGAGGAAAATAGCCAAAAGGAGATTGGATACTTATTTCCTTCTCTTTAACGTTGTTTCTACGTCATGCTAGGAGTTGCAGCCATGCAACTTTCTAGAACAGGAATCTACAACATGTAACATGAATGGCGTCAAACTGACATGGATCATGACCAGTCAGATGGCCCCTCTGTGTAGAGAGTCCCAGGCAGGGACAAAATCCAAGAGGTTTGCTGAGTGCATGGTGGGCCACCAAATATCACTAGCGGACATCCCAGAGTCTGTGGTCTAGATCTTGCTTGTTTTTTTTTCATTTTTTGGGTGACTTGCAGACAAGTTTCTGTGAACGAGGAGTGGGGAATCCTTTGCATTCCCCCATGGGGAATTTTCTGGGAGACACAGACCATGGAGGATGCAAAGCCCAAGGCAAAAATGGGCAACTCTGTGTATGTGACCTATACCTACATACAGCAGGACACATTTCAGCCATGCAAATCTGTTCATGCCTCTTTATCCTCCATCTAAGCAGTTCGAAAGCACGTCAAAGTGCAAGTAGATAAATAGGTACCGCTCTGGCAGGAAGGTAAAAGGCGTTTCTGTGCGCTGCTCTGGTTTGCCAGAAGCGGCTTAGTCATGCTGGCCACATGACCTGGAAGCTGTACAGCGACTCCCTCAGCCAATAAAGTGAGATGAGCGCCTAGAGTCGGTCACGACTGGACCTAATGGTCAGGGGTCCCTTTACCTTTAAGCAAGCAAAATGCATTATCTCAGTTCAGTTATTCATTCTTTCCAGAAAGCAAATGTACTGTGAGAAGTGTGGCTTGGAAAGAGGGTGGGTGTCCAGGAAGAGTCGCAAGGGGCTGTAGGGCCACATTCAAAAGTTCCCCATTCTTGTCATAAACCCTTCTTTCCCTGCATCCAAAAAACCCCTTCACATCTGATCTCTGAAATTCTGTGTGGTATATACCCATTTAAACATACTCCTGACCACAGTTACCTTCAGCTCTTTGTAGAACTGTGACTCCACAGCTCCTGCCTTGATAACCTTGGGTTTGATTAGTCTTCTGCACTCAGCAATGCTGTCTAATTCTCTCCGTAAAACTAATCACAAAACAGAGAGGAAGAAAATGAGGCATTTTGCCTATCACACTGCTCTGACTTTATTCATTCTGTTTGTTTCAGGAGCTGATACTTCTCATGCACTCACCAATCAATCAATCAATCAATCAGAGAAGAATGATAGCTTCATGCGAACCTTTAAGCATTCCTTTGAGCATGTGGTGCTTCTCCCAGCAATATCCTATTCAGCACTTGAAGACAGTAGGCATCAAAATGGGAAAAGGACTGTCCATATTGGGCTTCTCATAACATGCATGGTATACCTTCTGTACAACACAATAAAGTAGGCTACTGGCTTTCTCTCAAATCATTGCTTTTTCTTCTTGATCTTTTCCACCCCACCCCAGTTTGAAGTTCTCTGACAGTTCTATGCCTTTGGTTACTTGCAAGCATCTGATCAATATCTCACTGCAGTCAGTCAACTGGAGTCTTCCCATCAAACCTTATGGTTTTTCAATTTGGTTTGAAATTCTCTTTCATAGCTCTCCCAACTTCTATCTTGCATTTGGCCAGCAAATTTGGTCCCTTTTCAACTGGGATTGGATATAAGCACTGGGACCAAATACATATTCAAAAATATGAAACGCAGAAATCCTTGCACTTCCAAAAATACTTTTTGAAAAGTCAAAGTCAAAAGAAGCTGGAATTAAAAAGGAATTAGTAAGGAAAATTTGGATATGGATGGGGATCATTAAACTAACATTCAGAGACATCCAAACAAGGCAGCTGGAATGTGTGAATGGAATCCAATAATACAGATTATTATAAAGGAATTTGATATATTGCTGATACAATAATTGATTATATGTTGGTATACGTTATAGGAAGTTTATAGTTAAGGTAAAAGTACTGTAATTGTATATTTGATTTTCGGCATCTGACAGGATGCATTTTTGGAAATGATAAATTATTTTGTTGGTTGGTTAATTAACTACTCTTTCTTGCATGCAATTCATTTTGTAAGATACGCACACATGCCTCTTTGAATTCTTTCTGACTGTTCCATCTTCAAAGGTTTTTGGGCTCTGAAACCTAAACTAAAGTTGCCAGATCTTTCCGAGAGTGGAATTTTGAGGACAATCATAAAGTTACATAGGAAGGTGCCTTATGTCAGCTGGTCAGACAGTTTCTCCATCTGGAGAAGTACCATCTACTCTGACGGGCAAAGTATTTTGGCAGCAGTACCCTGGAGATTTGAACCTGGGATATTATGCACGCAAAGCAGATGCTCTATTACTGAGCAATGGAAAATACCGTATTTTTCGCTCTATAAGACACACCAGACCATAAGACGGACCTAGTTTTTGGAGGAGGAAAACAAGAAGAAAAAAAATCTGAATCCCAGAAGCCAGAACAGCAAGAGGGATCGCTGCGCAGCGAAAGCAACAATCCCTCTTGCTGTTCTGGCTTCTGGGATAGCTGTGCAGCCTGCATTTGCTCCATAAGATGCACACACATTTCCCTTTACTTTTTAGGAGGGAAAAAGTGCGTCTTATAGAGCGAAAAATACGGTAAAGACTGTGCTTCCTTCAACCTCCACAGTAGGGCTCCTGCAGGGATTGGCACTACTTGGGTGCCTTCTTCAGAATGAGACCAGAGAGATTTTCTGTAAGGACATAAGAAGAGCCCTCTGTTGGAGGCACCATCTGGTCCAGCATCTTGTTTTCAACAGCAGCCAACAAGATGTCTCAGGAACTTTCCTTGCATCCTTGGCCAACACTAGCATCTCTTCCTTCCATGCCTAGCAGAGAGCACTGGAGCCAGGATGGAGACACGTTACCTATTAGTCCAGGGGACAGGAGAGATCTGGGATGATTTGCTGCATATTTCCATTATCTCAATGCCTAACTCAAAGTTTTGATTTAAATTACTTCCCGAGTCTTTGTTTCGCAACCACACTAAGTTTCTTCTGCCTCCCATACCTCTTCTAAAGGTCAGTGGAGCACTGGTTTAAGGCAAAATGAAATTGACTTCTCTATGCGCAATTTGGAAACTTCATGGCCATTACTTAGATATTTCTCCTCAAATTCCCTTGCAGAGACATGACAGGTTAAAATATTGCCATGGCAACCACCCCCCTCAGTAGTTTGAATGTGTTTTTTTATTATTATTAAAGAATCAAACAAACCCAAAAAGCTCTTCTCTTTGAGACCTACAAGCTCAACACGATGGAACCCAGTTCCAGGTGACTTCACAATGTGTGAAAAATGCTTTCAGTGAATTCTGAAACCATATTTACATACCTTCAACTTCAGCACTGAGACCTTTGATGGAAGCTGTGGCAAAGCAGAAAAGAAGTCAGATGGTGAACCCAGATAAGTATCACACATATCTAATATGGAAATGTGTGTTTTGAGAAAAGCAATATTTGCAAGAAAGGAGGGAAGGGAAACAATCCTCTTACCAGCAGAAACAGCTTTAAATTCTGTCAACTCCTGAGAAAATGTAGCCAAATCAGGCTCATGTAAGAAGATCTGTTCCACAAGGGCATGGAGCAAGGTGAAATTCCTCTCCTTCCCTCGTAGCAATGATAACTACAAACAGAAGACAGCAATGTAATTGACAGGCTTGCCTAGATTTGGGGTGTATTATTTTCAAAAATGGAGGCAGCGGGGAAATGTTATAGCTCCAAGGAAAATTTAATAAGAGCAGAAAAAGTGGGGTTAAGATTTCTTTAAGCTCCTATCCACCCTAACAGGATTCAGAGGTCTTTCTGCAAAGGGCTTGTACTACCTTTCTCACTGCATCCTCATGAAGGATGTTGTGAATTCAGTGGTACCTCAGGTTACAAACACGTTAGGTAGTACCTCAGGTTAAGAACTTTGCCCCAGGATGAGAACAGAAATCGCACGGCGGCTGTGCGGCAGCAGCAGGAGGTCCCATTAGCTAAAGTGGTACCTCAGGTTAAGAATGGTTTCAGGTTAAGAATGGACCTCCGGAACGAATTAAGTTCTTAACCAGAGGTACCATTGTAGGATTTGCCAGAAGGAGGTGTACAAGGCCCCATCCAACCACCTTAGGGACTCCAATCTGGATTTGTGTGTAGGGTTTACTTCTTAGCCTTTTCTTCTCCTGAAGATGTTCCACAAGGCAGCAGAGGCTTAGGATCAGATTTTCCTTCTCCTAGATGGGCTTCCTTCCCAGGTTAGCAAGCCCCACCTGTCCCTTACTTCCCTCTACAGCATGTGCAGAAACAACCGTCTAGGCCATTGGTCTTGTCCGCTCAATCTGCCAGAGCCAAGGGATACAAGGGAAGTCCCTAACTCATAGACGGTTTGAGATCCAATGGCTACCCTTACCTGTTTTAGTTGGCCAGTTGAAGCCATTCCCAGGGTATGACCACTGTTGCGTGCTCAGAGCTGAGTTCAGGATGTGGACCAAAGGTGGGTGAACTACCTCAGAAGGAGCATGATGTGTCCCCCACCAGAGGTGTCCCCCACCACTACCCAACACCTCTAATGCATAGCTCTGCTTTACCTGGGAAGACATCAGTGAGGCCAAGAGAGGAGTCTTGTCTTCTGGGCAGCCCAGGACCTCCATACATCCTGCCCAGGCTTGTGTCCTGGGGAGGTCATTTTGGTGCTGTTAATGCAGTGGTTTGACTTTACCCCTGGAGGTGCACTCCATTGTCTCTTGAGACAGACAGGTGCCAACAGTGCCACTTAGGAACTAAAGCTGAGAAATACTACCACAGCTAGCAGCCTGGCTATTGCAATGTTCTTCAGAGACCCTTCAGTGTTTTCTCTTGCCTTCAGAAGTGAGGTAGGTGGTGATCTCAGACAGGGCCTTCTCCATTGTGACACCCATGTCTGACATACCTTTCCCAGGGAAGCTTGCCATGAGCAGTATTCTATTAACTCAGCTCAAGACTTTCCACTTTCATAATGGGACTCCCCCCCCCCCCGTCTCCTCACCTGACTTGTGTCCTCCCCAAACCCACTCCAGGAGGTTAGGGAAACCCTTAAATTTAGGGGGCACAGGAGGAGGGGGGAACATTGCATTGTGAAATGCTTCCACTGACAGAAACAGAGACTTAGCACCACATTGGATTCTATGCCTGGTGTTGACGTTAATGTATTTTTGGTGCCAAATGAAGACCTTTTTATTTGACTTATAAATTTTGTTTTTTGGGTTATGCTTTAACACTGCCTCTGTTTTAAAGTTTATTTTACACTACTCTGCTATTTTGGGCTTTTTTTGGGATGTTCTTATCACTTTTGAGCTGCTCTGAGAAACCTTTTAAAGGTTGAAGAAAGCCCTCTGCCAGGCTGCCACACACACCAAGCTTCTAAGGGCAGAGGAACTACCAAGAGGGTCCTCTCTGCTGAGTAAATATTACTCCTGGGAATAATTCTTCTGAAGGTTTTATATTTTAAATAGATACAACAACCTATGCATTTTTCACCTTTTGGTATTTGTCCCATTCCTCCATTTTTTGGGAGGTGGGGGCTTATGCACTAGAGAGACAGAAGCCCCCTCCAGAAATTATTCCTCCACACCAGTTGGCAACAGGGCACCCTCCCAAAATTGAATAACTTCAGCTCTCTGCACCCAACCTTTGGCCATGCTGACTGAGGCTGATGAAAGCTGGAGAACAACAATATCTGGAGGACATCAAGTTGACTACTGATGCTTCACAGGTTCTCTGATCTTCCACAGAAAACTTGAATGTATTAAGGTGTTGCCAGCAGGGATGCAGGTGTTGAGGGTGCTACTCCCTCACACATGTTTTAAATACAGAGAGGAAAAATGTCTGAAGGGGGCTTGACTGGCAAAAATATCTGTACACCCATGTACAAAAAGGAAAGCAGGTAATGTGGTCTTGGGAGTAACCCACTGGACGATTTTAACATTGAAAATGGGACATATATATTTCCTAGACAGTGACAAAAGGTTTCACACTCCAGTGTAAAACAGTAAGAATAGTTCATGTAAAACAATGCTTTAAGTCTCCGTAGTGGGATGGAGAAAGATGTCGTCTGGCACAGTAAGGTTTTGTAGATATTTTTCATAATGATAAATGTGGTAGTTCAGCAGAAATATAAAAAAAGGCAAACATCCAAATTGGGGCTCTGAATTGTCGCTTGCATCATAAATCATTCACTCAATATACTGAAATCCCTGGGAAGTGCCATGGTGGGGGAAAATAACTTCCACTTCTATTTAGAGATGTGGCAGAATTTGATAATATGCTTAAAGGTTCAAGGCTGCCTAGAGAATATGCAGTCAGTAATAGGAGCAGCCAAACACAGAGTTTGAGGCAAAGGAAACTGCTCTTATTGCCAACATTTTCAAAGGCAAATCATCAGTCCTGCAAATGGATCACAGATAATACAACCAAAAAAGTCACTTTTACATGGGCATATCCTATTCCATCTTAATTCTGGCCAGAAACTGTTGTTCATTAATTTCTGTTTCGGACAAAATTTTGTTATTTGCAGATGTCCACACATTTTAAATGATATTCCTGCAATGTGGAGACTACCAGATGGAAGCCACCATTCTGGGCAGCTTCCAATATACTGTATTTACTCAAATCTAAAACTGTACTCACCTTTCTGGGCCAAATTACATTGCGAAAATTAGGGTGTGCATTAGATTTGATGGCACATTTACATTCACCAGCAAATACTTTTTTTGGTTTCAAGGTTCTGAAAATTGAGGTGCGCATTAGATTCGATGGTGCATTAGACTCGAGTAAATATGGTATGTGTGTGTGTGTGTGTGTGTGTGTGTGTATAGATAGATAGATAGATGATAGATAGATAGATAGATTAAAAAAATAGGCATTAAACACTAAAAAAACTTCTCTATACAGGGCTGCCTTCAGATGTCTCCTAAAGGTTGTATAGTAACTTATCTCCTTGGCTCAGGGATCACATAACTCCATACCCTCCAACATGTCTCCAATGAAAATAGGAGACGTCCTAAGGAAAAGCAGGGCAGTCCAGGATAAAATCAGAAAATGAGGCAGCTTCTGTAGATCTTGGACAGTCCCTGGAAAATAGGGACACTTGGAGGGTCTGGACTTTGCCAGAGTAGTTTGCACTGAGTCTCAGCATTTCTTTGAGGGGTTTGGAGCATCTAGAAAACATTCATCTGAAGGGAATGACATTGCTGTATTATTTATCTGCACTCAGGAGAAAAAGAGAGAGATTTAAACACTTTTTTTAAGGGAAATTGTACTCTCCTACAATCCAAGCCTTTCCCCAGCAAAACCACTTACTTTAGCCAGAGAAGACAGCTGAAAGCCTTTGGCCTTCTCTCTCCCAGCATTTTCATTTAAGTAGTTCCCAATGGCTAAGATATATTCCAGCACAGCAACAAATCTCGGGTTGTCCTGCAGCTGTTTGCATGCCCTGATCTTCTGGTTTATGAGCTGGAACACAAGGAGGCATCGTTTGATTAAATTGTCAAGGGTGACTAAATGGGGCTCTCTGCGTTGTTTCTGGTCAGTCAGGAATTAATCTAGACCATGGGAATCTCAAGCCATAAAAGGGGCCTCTGTAGGGATCTGCCATGAAGACTTCATAGTCAAGATTGCTACATTCTCACGCACTGTAATGGCAGGGATCTTCGGCATTCGCTTGTGGGCACATTGTGCAATATGTCACTGATGCAATAATAGTGGATTAGCGGTAGATTTATACTGGACCACTTTATTAAGAAGAGTTTGGATTTGATATCCCGCTTTATCACTACCCGAAGGAGTCTCAAAGCGGCTAACAATCTCCTTTCCCTTCCTCCCCCACAACAAACTCTCTGTGAGGTGAGTGGGGCTGAGAGACTTCAGAGAAGTGTGACTGGCCCAAGGTCACCCAGCAGCTGCATGTGGAGGAGCGGAGATGCGAACCCGGTTCACCAGATTATGAGTCTACCACTCTTAACCACTACACCACACTGGCTCTCAATTATTAGTTGTTCCTGCAATGCTTCCCTAATATTAATACATTTATTGCTATGTGGAGAGGCACTTTTGTGCTATAACAGGCGAGGAAACTGGTAGACCAAGATTGCCCCACAGGCCTCCCCATTTGTCCTGCAAGGCTGCTTTTCTGCTAGTCCTGTGGGCACCATGTTGGCTACACTTGACTTGGAAAGTAATTACATACAATAGCAGCTTCAGAAAGGGCAATTTGGAGCAGTAAAGCTGGTGAGAAGGGGTAACTGGACTCCTTGTGCTGCTTCTATGTTCCTAATCTTCCCTCCCCTTCCCTCCTCTGTAGGGTGACAGACATAGATTGAGGGATCTGTGAAGAAAAAGTCTGCTTTTTGGACCTCACAGGCAGAATAAGAGCTGTGAAAGGACAACTCTGAGCAGAAAACCAACAGGCAAGGGAAAGGTTAATATGCCACCATTGCTGCCACTTTTCCACTTCATGTTACCCCTTTGCAAATTTGCTTTTGCTTAGAAATAGCAGCCTTTGATGGCCTTTGACACATTATTGGCAGGTAATGTGCCAGTCATTTCATGCTTTGTGTTCTCAAAGAGATACATGGTTAGTTTCAAAAATCAGCAGGAAGAAATAGCAGCCTGAATATTCAATACAGGCAGTAGCTTGTCTTATCTGCCACTTGTGTGCATAATCATATGTCCCCCTGCACCCAGACCACAGGTGTCTCCCTATGGAGGGTTTGTGCAAATCACTGCTTCTGCAACTACACAGTAGGGCAAAAACAGGGTGCAAAAGGTTACTCTCTCTTACTCTCCCAGTGCACACTTGTCAATAATCCCAACACATTCTTATTTTGACCCCAGTGTGCTCTTTCAAAACTGATTTCCATAATGAAAAAAGGATGTGCAATTTTAACTTGTTCAGATCTTGTTGGGCTGGATATTCTTTTTTCTTTATTTCTTTTGTCTCTCCCAATATGGATGTATATTTTTCACCCTTCCTTATATTGAGCTCATTAATTAAAGAAGGATTGCCTCCCTAGAGCTGCTATTAGCCATAGAGGGAGAAACATGTGGACTTCAAAAATTAATTTTTCATATTTTCCCATCCACAAGTTATAGCAGCTCCAATTAAATAAGGGCTGTATGTAATCTGGACCAGGGCTATGGTGTGGGGGAAAGTGTGTCTCTCCTCATGCTGTGACCCCAATCAAAACCGGTGCCCCATACCTGCTTTTCCAAAAATAGAATGACATTGGGAGCACCCAACAGAGAGCTGTTATTTTCAACCAGTATCTGGGAGCAATTGGCTCTAGTTCAGGTTCAAGGCTCTAGAGAGGTTTTAGCATTGATGCTTAGTTGCAATTGACACAATGCAGGAGGTTCTTTGAACCAGCCTTTGGGGTTCAGGTTAAGTTCAGCTCCCTCCCTACAGCCTCTTCAAACTGGATGATTGGCAGTCTTTTTGAGATGTGGACACCTTGAGCCCCAAACCAGATTTTCATTATTATGTAAAACAAAACAGTCAATGTTGGATGTATTGCTTGGCCACCTAGACTGTGTTTCCATAGGTAAACAAGAATGACAAATATCTCGAAAATTAAATCTCAAACAATATCTACAAGGTATCAGCTGTGTTGATTGGCATGGACTGTGTCATCGTTCATGAGGTATTACCTTCTGGAGGTGCTATTTCCGCTAATGAACTCTCTCAGGTTTTGACTTGCCCAAGGCTATTTTAGATACCCCAGCAGGTAGCGCATATTGTATTTCAAAATCTAGACGATCTCAAATTTACTTTCATGCTAGTTATGACTCTCTTGGCTATCAAATCCAGGAGCAATACATAGATCATCAAAACCTTTCCCCACATTTCTTTTGAATAATGCAGTGAAATGACAACTTATACATCAGGCTGCCCGCATTATTACAATATGAATGTCAACGACATGACGGGTGAGTTGCTTTTTCCAAGGAAAATCTCTGCTCACACACATACGTAGATAGACACGCCGGCTTTTAAAATTGACATGGAGGGCATCTGGTGCTTTATAGTGCATCCCTAAGCATGTTTACTCAGGAGTAAGGATGGCGGGGGGGCAGGAATTCCAGTTTAGTTCACGTTTAAAGGTGAACCTACCTAATTCTCACTTCCTGGAACAAAATGCAAACCAAAATACAGCCATCCCTCAAAATTTGTGCTTCTCCAAAGCTTGCAGTGCAGTTCTCCAGCCAAACATATACAAAAGAACGTATTGAAATGTATAATTCTTCTGTTTATTTTATATTTGCCTGTTTATCTTTGGCTATAACATGCATTTGGCTCCCTTAATGATAACTTCGATTTAGCTTATCCAAACTGATGTGCTAATGTGGACTTACGACTGGGGGCGGGGGGACAAAAACACCAAGAGAAAGCAAGTTTGACAGATTCACCCCAGTCCCCTGAGTACAAAGGGACTTTATCCAATGTAAGTATGGATAGGATTACAGCATGCTCAATGTTTAAATTTATTTAAGGCACACACACAAACAAATATAATATGCTTACCCACAGAAATCAAGGTATGATACTTACTGGCCGCAGTTCAGCCATGGATTCTGGTAGTTCACGAATGGAATGCAAGAGGTCAAGTTTCTTGCATAAATTAGGTATTTTACACATCTGCATAAAGGAAAGGAAACTCAGAAAAGATTCCTGTTCTCCTACATAAGAAATTTTTAAGCTGCCTTGTTAAATCTGTTCTAGGGGTTCCCACAACCCTCTGAAGCAGATTTGAAGAGGGTTTGGAGTATGTATGCATGGAGGAAGGAGATGAAGGGAAGTTCCACTGAGCAAACATAAATCCTTGCTCCGATGGAATGTATTCATTTGATACCAGCTCGTCAATTCATGAGAAAATTGTGCTCAAAAATGATCAAAATGGAAAGGGAGAGGGAAATTGGTGGAATTCCCAAGCATCAGCTACAGGGTTGTTGTTGAATTTCTCTCACTTTCAAGGCACCCATTTACAAGGGTGTGAAGCAGCATTCGTGAGTGCCCTTTCATTCAGTCTTCAGTTTAATTCTCCAGTGGTCTGCACTCTGCAGCCTTCCTGAGTGTTTCCTGGAAACCCCTGAAGTCTGCTCAATGGCCAGCTTACTCAGAGTAAGATGACAGAGCTTTTCCCATAGAGAGCCAAGAGACTACAAAGTGCTGGAGAAATGGAAAGGAAAAATGCATATGCCCACTCTACCCAAAGCCACCTTGTAACAATAACGAAAGCTCAATTCCACAACCACAAAATGTTTTAAAAAAATTCTAAACTGTCCTGAGAATGAGGCAGCCTCTTTTGCAGTGGAAGAAAACTTTTGAGAAATTTGGGGACACGTTTTGGCATAGCACCAGCAAAGATGTTGGAGGCTAAACTTGGGACCAGACACATCCGTATTGAACTATAACCCTAGGTAAAAGCTCCCACCTTGGAGTATATCAGCTATAGACATGCATCTTCAACAATGCATTGACCTTAAGTCACACAACTGCTGTTCTGTACTTTAAAAAACACAAATGAAATATTTTAGAAATGCTTTTTTAACGTTTCAGTTTGAACTAATTCGAATAATCTAACACTGTGTCTTTTGCACAGTCTTCTGTGTTAAGGAGACAGATCAGGATGTTTGAATAAATAAAGCAACCCAGCTGCTGCAAAGGATTTCTTTGTTCCAAGAAAGTTCGATGAGTTGCATTTTCCCAAGTTTTAAACTCAGCATAAAATCAAGAAGCAGACAATATGGCATGTACAAAACCACATCTTAAACCGTAGATATATTTCTTACTTCTAGCATAAATTGATCCACCAGATGCAGTTCTGAAGGAGACCCTTTGAACGACATGTACATTTCTATATCTTTCGCAGTGGGCTGGTATCTATGGGAAATCGATACAAATTAGCATTCCTGGTTCCAAGACATCAGTGTCAAATATGGGCATTTTGCAGACAATGGTAACAATTTCAACAGAATACTTAAAACATGGGCTCATTTGTGTGCTAAACCAGAGTAAACAACAATGAACGTTTCCCCATTTTAATTAATTGGGGGAAAATATAGCATTTTTGTATTGGCTTGTTTCAAATTCCTTAACCCCTGCCATCTTGAATAATTAACTACATTCCGTATGTCTATTTTTCCTCTTCTGCCCACCTTCAGATTGGGAAAACAACAACAGCTAGAACTGTTTCATTGGGCCTTCCCACAGGTGGAACAAATTCTAACAGTGTTCATTTGTTTGTTTGATGTAATACATTTCTATGCTGCCTCATAGTCAAATTGCCTGCATTGTTTACAAAACTTAAAAGCCACAATACCCACCATAATGCAATACAAACATAAACGTGGCAGATAAAAGCACAGTTAAATGTCAGAGTTTAAAACAATGTCTTGTTGAATAAATAGCCCTTTGCTTGGCATTCAGAATACAGAGAGTTGGCACCAATCAAACCTCCCTATTTATTTAGACCAAGCAACACAAACTTGTTCTGACACACAGAGAGTTCTTTCAGTAGTCTCTGTATTCTCCCTTCCCCTTGTGACTGCTAGAGTAGGTACTGTAGTACAGGGGTACCCACCATAGTGCTCTTCAGATGCTGTTGCATTTCAACTCCCATCATCCCTGACCTCTGGCTATGCTGGCAGGAGTTGGAGTCTACATCACCCAGAAGGCACCACTGTAAATCCACATGCCTCTTTCACCTGCCTCCAATAGTTTGCAAAGCAGCACCATGGAATCTTCCCAGTCCAAGCACACAAAGCAAGTGTAGAGAGGTGAACAGGGAAGGGCCAGAGCTGAGTGCTAGAGTAACTGCTTCGCATGCAGAAACCCCAGGTCGAATCCCCAGCATCTCCAGGTAGAAATGTCCTCTGCCTGGAACCCTGGAGAGCTGTTGCCAATCGGTGTGGACAATTCTGAGTTAGATGGACCCAATGGTCTAACTCAGGAGAAGACAGCTTCCTATGTCCCTAAGGCATTGTGGAAAGTTATTTCAAGCTGTCTCTGGATGGGTTGGGGGAAATAATGCAAACGGGTGGCCCATAATCATGTCAAGCATGGGATTAATTTATTTTAAATCCAAGCCATTTGGCTCAACTGGATTGAATTGTTTTGTTGCTCACTTTGCTTAAAGCTCAGCATTAAAAGCAGCAAGGTGGCTTACGGTTCCTCCAGAGAACAATGAGTAATAGAGCATATGTATTTTTTTTAAGTTACATCCCTAATTTCCGATGCAAGGAGCTAGGTACATCAGGTGCTTCAGTAAACACATCCTTTCGCTTCTCCTTTCATTTGCCCAAAATGATGCTGTTTTCAAAAAGTAATATCTATCATAAATAAAGAATTCTATCCAAAAGGTTACCTTCTTAGTGCTGTAATCTGCTCAATGCTAAGTCCACCACTGTCTTCATGTATAATGTATAATTTTTCTTTCAGCTGGCTTGGCTTTATGCGGAAACTTTTAAGAAAAATGTCTGGAGGGGGAGAATGGTTCTTTGATTACTTGTAGATAAATGCACAGGGGAGCGGGGGGGGAGGAAGCAGAGAAAGAACACTGGGACATTTATACTGTTGTTCAGCCCACAGAATTAGCTTGTGCTTGTGCCCACTAAAAGCTAAGATGAGTCAGTGCTCTAATATCTTGTACAAATAGTATCCTAGCATTCTAGTACGAATGGCATCGATGTATCCATATGGATGTATTTGATTGAAGTGCAGTCAATCCATTAGTCAGAAGAATAAATCAAGAGAGTGTCTCCTGATGGCACTCAAAACCTTACTTTGAAAATTATTTTAGTTAAGTATACAAAAAATGTACTGCTGATTCTGGGATTGAGTTTACAGAGCCCACTGTTTCGTTCTCCAGAGTGACTACTCAACTCCCCCTGGGAGCTCACAAACAAGGTGGAAAGGTGACAATCGCTCTCACTGTCATGTGATCAAAACATCAAGTAAACAGGGGTACACTGCCTCTGAATGAAAAGTGATACCCTTATTGAATTACCCACACCTGAATTTGTCCAGTTTTTCCCCCAAGCATGTTTTGAGTCGTAAGTTTGCTAAAAGCAGGGGCTTGCCCAATTTGCGTAGTAGAAAAGAGTGGTTTCCTGGAAGAAACAAGACTAATTTGGAGGATTAAAAAGCACTGTTTAAAGATGTCTTTATCCTCACTAACAACATCTTAACATGTACTTCCCAACCACCACCACTTTAGTGTCAGTCAATGGATGCAATAATTTCCCAGCCCAGGTGTCCCAATTAACATAATGATTACACCCTTCCAATTTTAGTTCATGCAAATCCTTCACAGGTTTATACTTCACACAAAGGATTTCCAGTTGTGCTTGCTGGAGGCCCCTTGCGCAGTGTTACAAAGGATCCTGGGAAGTACTATAAAGCACACATACACTTAGTGTTGTGCCAAAATTTTATCCCCCATTTCTCCTTGACCATGTTCCAATACTGAGAGGGGAAATGCATTCAAAAATTATCAAAGAGCAAAGGAAAATTTGGAGTAATTATAAAGGGTTAGGGTGCCTGCATGTGTTAAAAAGCACACAGCAGTGAAAATAACATGCAAAAGTGCAATATATGGGAGAAATTTGCTTACAAAAATATGCATATTTGTCAAAACTGAATACAAAATGTCTACAAATTTTCATGTGGATTTTTTTAAATTAAAAATTAAATTTAAAAAAAAAATCACAATTTGATGGAGAAATACGGAGAACTAAAAACTGGAAAAATGAGAAACTGATGTTGACAGACTCATCCATTGGTACTTGAGGGAAGGACCAAAGTTCAGCGGTAGAGCATCTGCTTTGCATTCTGAAGGTCCCAGATTCAATCCTTGGCATCTCCAGAAAAGGCAGGGGGTGACCCTTGTCTGAAATTGCAGGGACTCGGCCAGTTAGTGTAGACAGTACTCAGCTAGATGGACCAATGTCTGACCCAGTAGAAGGCAGCTTCCTAACTCAGGGTCAGCGGATGAAGCTGAATGGCAAGAGATTCGGGACAACAACAAAGCATTCATTGACACAGCACACAGCTAAACTACATAAGTTGCTACCACTAGATGTAGTTATGACCACCAACTTGGATGGCTTAAATTGGGGATTAGAAATGGAGGATAAGGCCATCAATGACTACTTGTCACAATGGTTGTGTACTACCTCAGGATCAAATACAGTTGTCAGGGAACTGCCATCGGCTCAGAGGTGAGAAATAGAAGGGCAGTTGTGTTACAGGGAGCCTCCGAAAATCTTGCGAAGCAGTTCCTCTTCCGGGGAGGAGGAAAGCCCCACCTCCAGTGGGGAAGAGATGCAAAGACCAGAGGATGCTGGTGGGAGCCTTCTGGACAAGCCAGACAGGAGGGAAACACGCCCTTGCCATCGCCCATCCTGCGCAGTAGTTTGAGGCGCAGAGAGGGGAGGAGACGTTTGGGGGTAACAAAACTCTTATGTGGGGGAGGTCCAAAAAAAGACCATTACCAGATTCTGCTAGCGATTGAGCCAGACATGAGCTTTGGGGCTCTGTAAACTGTAAATAGTTTGCACCAAAATAAAGCCTGTAAAACACAGGTCGGAGTCCTGCCTGGTTACTCTCGAGCAACCGCAACAGCCACCTGACAACAGTATTCCTTTAAACATCTGTTACAGGAGAGCTATTGCACTCATGAACTGCTTGTGGGTTTCCCACAGACATCTCTTTGATCACTAGGAGAACAGAATGCTAGACTGGGTAGACCTTTGGCCTGATCAAGAGGTCTCTCCTTATATTCTTATGCCAATGATTCTGTGATCACAGGATAACATTTGATGGACTGCTTTTCGTATAACTATTGAAATTCAATTGAAATTCCACAGCATTTCCTTCTGAGCCTCTTAAAAATCTTAGGAATCACGAGTAAGGGGCTACTCCTAGTAAGCAAAGTGACATTTTCACACTTACTGAAGTTATGCGCAACTTTTGGGTTTAGCATAATTTGTTGTGTCGGGAGAGGCTCATTGCCATGAGTTCCCACCACTTCTTGAATACGAAACTGGTTGTGAAGCCGAGCCACATCTATGGTTTTCTGGCCCAGGTGGCAGGATGTCCAGATTGATTTCTCTATCTAAAAATATTAAAAAGCTGTAAGTAAATATGTCATGGCATCTCTATAATTAGGACGGTCAAGTTCCCAAGGCTTGATTTGGAATGAGCTTACCTAATGCAAGCTACTTTGCACGCAGTTCAGCTCATGTCCAAAATTAGTTCATTTTAAGCTCACATATTCCAAGCTCCAGGTTTCATCATATTTACAGTGATGCTTTTATAAACACACAAAGCAATGAGAAGTATCCCCATTCCCAACACATCTTCCAACCACTAGGGAATATAATGAGTCCTGCAGACCCTTCATACTGCTCTCTGACACATTCCCCCATCCCTGAAGAAAGCATACCTGCAATGGTGAAATGTAGCCTTAATGCAGCAAAAGCACCAGGAACCCTCAGAATTATAGATACCCTATGTATCTTTTGGTAGCTGATTTCTGGTGACCTGTAGTTTCCAGGATATTTGTGAGGACCTCAAAGGCCATAGAAACAACATTTCCCACCAGTCTTGTCACTTAATAATGGCCTAATGAAGGTTGCAACAGCCCTCCTTACCACTGCTGCCAGGTAAGTTTCAGCCAGAAATGGAAGGGGTCAACCATGGAAGTATTATATGCTGGTTTTGAAACTGGGGCTAAACTAATTATGAGTGAAGACCAAACTTGGCTAATAATTAGCCTAGAATCCCAAGACTAGAGAATTCCATGATTCAAAAAAAATGGGATTTGGTGAGGTATAACTATCTTATAGGACATCCAAGTAGGGTCCCATGTTCCTGACTGGGTATTGTAACACCTAATTGAGCATATAGGAGGAGTCCTAGGAACTGCAAGTACCTTCTTCCTGAGGTGACCCTGTGATGTGTAAATGGTAGTCATGATATTCTTTATGGACAGTCGTAACCATAAAATTTTGAATTATGGTGCTGGAGGAGACTCTTGAGAGTCCCATGGACTGCAAGAAAATCAAACCTATCCATTCTTAAGGAAATCAGCCCTGAGTGCTCACTGGAAGGACAGATCCTGAAGCTGAGGCTCCAATACTTGGGCCACCTCATGAGAAGAGAAGACTCCCTGGAAAAGACCCTGATGTTGGGAAAGATGGAGGGCACAAGGAGAAGGGGACGACAGAGGATGAGATGGTTGGACAGTGTTCTCAAAGCTACCAGCATGAGTTTAACCAAACTGCGGGAGGCAGTGGAAGACAGGAGTGCCTGGCGTGCTCTGGTCCATGGGGTCATGAAGAGTCGGACACGACTAAACGACTAAACAACAAACCATAAAAAGAAAATAGATTCCCATGGGGCTAAGAGCTTGGGGATTCTTCTTGAGGAATCCATGTAGAACTTGAATTCCATCATAGCATTTTTCACTGTATTCCTCCAACTGAATGATTACCAGGGGACTGTATGTGGGCAAGGGGCAGGGTGGAGATTCCATCTAAATAGGCCATAAAAGAGCTCGACTCACGAAATAGATCATGACCTCTCTGTGGCTTGGTGCTACCACATCCCTCAATGGGCTAGAGGGTGATTATGAATCATGAGTCATTATATCTGGGACAGTGGTGAGAAACCTCTGGCCTATGGTCCTAATTAGGCCCATAAGTTATTCCCACTTGGCCCAAGGGCCATGTCAGGCAAGCCACAGCCACTTGTCCATCACCCAGCATCAGATGACTTCAGCTATGGGTAAAAGCATGACTTGGAAAAGCACCATATTCAAAAGGGAGAATCAGGAGTTCACTCTAAATGGACTCCTGATTCTTCTTTTGCAGACCTGGCTTGAATTCAAATGAAAATTCCATTGCAATTCAAGCCATAGTTGCAGAGGTAGAATTTTTGCAGCTGCAGTTTGACTTCTTGAATTCAGGCCGTGTTTCTTTGCAGTTCAAGCTGGGACTGCAAAGGAAGAATCTTGCAGCTGCATATTGAAATTACCATTACCTGGCACCCGATGCCATCAGCTGATTAGCAGGTAGCCAGATCCACCCACCTGTCACGTGATCTGTGGAATGCTGGCTGCTTCTGCTCAGCCCTCCTCTAACAGGATAGGGACTATGGTTATAGATTATTCCCAACATTTATTTATTAACCAATGGTGTTCGTCTCTTGCCCATTTTACCTCCTAAGGAACTCAAGACAGCAAGGATAGGTTCCCCACCAGCCAATTTAATTCCATTAAATGCCTACCATGATCACAATACTCTCCTTTGCGAAGGAGGCTTACATCACATAAGTTGTCAGGATTATTTGAATGGGCATGTGAAGAGGACATGGTGTATGTACTACAAGGATAGCCAACTTGGTGTCCTCCAGATGTGGATGCTTTCTCCCATACTCCCATACTGAGAAACAATGGGAAGCTTGGTCCAAAACATCTGGAAAGAACCTCAGTGGTCACCCTGGTGTACTACTTGCTTTCTCTATTTTGTTGCTAAATTCCTACATGGACAGCATTTCTATTCTGTAGAAGGATGAACAATCTCATGTTAAACCTTCTACATAATCTCGTGATTATGATGATGACAGCTTGCAACAACAGAGAATCAAACACTCATGGATTTTATGCGCCCTGTTCTATGCAAAATATAATTTCAGACCTTTTCCTGAGGAACTACTTCCCAGTGGAAGGCTTTTGTTCTTGATGATGTTGGAGGCTGGCTGGACAACTTGGGGAAAGGAGGCGGGGCTTTCCCATCTGCCGTTCTTCCAGGAAGCTGACCCAAGGCTGAAACCAAAGGACGCTTCTCCTGTAGAGTGTGGGCTAAGGTCACAGCCTCTGGAGCTGTAGGAGATTCCAAACCGAAACAGATGGGCTGTTCCATCTTCCCTTCATTTAAACAGTGAGCTTCCTCACACACCGCTTCTGAGACATTCCCCTGAGTCAGGGATTCTGCCTTTGGCAATGAGCAGTATCTGTCTATGAGCAGCATCCACTCATTTCGGAGCTTGGTAATGTCCTCTAGTTTGTTGTTCTGGACAGTAAAGGGTATTTGGAATCTACAATTCAAAAACGGTGAGTCTGTGAACCCAAAATAGTGCACATGAAATGCCAATAAGCACAACCACAACCATTTCTGTTTCGTGCTCATTGATGTTACAGACAGTTTTACTTTTCAAGAAAGCCAGCAGTGCTGACTCTGACCTTTTCAGGCTGACTTAATTGCTAAGACTTTGAAGGAAACAAGAATGCTGAGATACAAAGATATATATTGCAACATATTGACTCAGGTGAACAATTTCCGTATAATTTTGTGGCCTCTGGGGTCAAATGGAACATTTCTACATTCTGAGAAGACACAGCTACAGCTAAACACTGTCTCCAGCATTTAGATTTTTCACGTGAGTCAATTTACTAATTAATCCTTCTTTGGTTTGTGAGCGAGGAACAGAATGTTTTTGACACTGAGATACATCGACTTGGCTAGCCACTAGGAACTGGAACTGAAATATGTCCAGCATATTAACATGCTTTTGAGCATGTGCAGAGTGTCCTTCCCACATCAATAAGTGATGAAAACTTAGCACCTCTTATTTTAGATATGAAACATGCACATCCAATCATATATTCAATGCCAAAATTGTGTATCTGGATTCAAGTGACCAATCTGACATGCCTAGCTTTACTTTGAGGGAAACTAAGAAAGCAAAACTTCTAACAATTCATTTATTCCCAAGCCTTCAGCTCTTTCACACAATCTCCAGGGTAATATTAGAGCCTATTGAATTTGGGTGTACATGTATATGGATGTCACAATGTGATATCTAATGTGTGGTAACTGATGTGTGTGCAGACTACAGCTGGCAAGAAAAGGTGATCAAACATATATGAAACTGATGCAGCAATTCAAGGAGGAAACAGCTTCATGAATGACTCCCCACAGCTTTGTTTCACTGACTCATCTCACTGATTCCTATTCCCCCTTACAGAGCTATAAGTTCTAGACTGGTTTAACAGTCAATCTCTCTTCCCAGGAATATCTGCATATTGTAGCTCTGTGAGTTCCTAACAACTCTCAGCACCCTTAACAAACTACAGATCCCAGATTTCTACAGAGGAAGCCATGACTGTTTAAAGTGGTATCGTAGTGCTTAGAATGTATGGTGCAAATGTAGCCAGAGTAATTTTCTGTTTTTTGTTACTCAGAAATCTTGGTGTGTGTGTGTGTGTGCTTCTCTTCCTCCCTACACAGCATCCACAACAGAACATTACACAAACTCACTAGCATAAATTAGCATCGTTGGTACCACTTGTGCAACCTTGACTTAGACCTTCTGGGCTGGGCAGGGTATAAATAATAAATTATTTTATTCAAAACAAAACAAAAAATCCTTCCAGTAGCACCTTAAAGACCAACTAAGTTAGTTCTTGGTATGAGCTTTCGTGTGCATGCACACTTCTTCAGTGTGCATGCACACTAATTATTTTATTATTATTATTCCATTTTTTTTATTATTCCATTTGTTTCCACTGTATTAGGTACACTTACAAGTACTTGGCTTCCTTTGTTCGAAGCATGAAGGTGCCAGAACCATCCTCCTCGCTGACAACTGCATCTCCACTTGACAAGTTAATTGTTTTTGCTATAGGAGCCACCGTCTCCATCTGGCGTTGGTCGATGCAATGTAAGCTCAGCTCCCGTTCGCTCAGCTGAACAAAGTGTCTAGAGGACAAAAAAAGAAAAAGAAAAGAAAAGGTGCTGGCAAACTCAGGTAGTTAGGTGCATGTAGATCCTTTGATTCAATGCAAAAATACACATTTCATACTGGTGAAAATAATTTCTTTTAAAAGGATTTGCGAAGGACCTTATTGTTTTATGGTTTGTGAATCAACTTAGGAGGTTAAAAGATTCCTCATTAATGGAGCCTAAAACATTTAGAGTGTTTTGATGTATTTTGGTGCTCTATGCTTTGTATTTATTAGGTTAAAAGGGTTTGTGAATTGCTAGTCTGTCTTAATGGCATCTGAAACATTTGAAGTGTTCAGGGTTTCACTAATACAGGGCTATAATGCTCTGTGCTTCCTCAATTAAATTTATTAAGTGAACTGTGTTTTTCTAATTGAAATGAACACTGTAATTAATAAAAGGTTTCTTTTTTAAAAAGAACTTCAGGATAGAAATTCAGGGATAGGCATCGGACTGAAAATGAAGACGAGATATTGCAAAACATTTTCTTTGCTGCACAAACCCAGGGATGAGGAACCTGCGCCCCACCAGCAGACACTGTAACTACTCTCTGATGGTTTGACTTTACCCCCAAAGGGACACCCTTCCATTATCTCCCAAGACAGACAGGTGCCAACAGCAACAGCTCCAGCCAGCCTAGCTTATGATCAGGGATGACAAAAGTTGTAGCCCAGCAACATCTAAATAGATATAGGTTCCCTAGCCCAAAAATAGAGTAGCTGTGCTCTGGTTATCTCCAAATCTGTCTTTCTTGAAATGGTTAACTGTACTCTTATTCTTGCTATTAACAGTGGGGAGGGGTCTTCTCAATGACAGCTCCCTGGTTATGGTATAACCTAGGGATGGGGAGCCTCTAGTTATCCAGAGGTTGTTGGACTACAACTCCCATCAACCCTCACCCTTGGCCATACTGGCTAGTGTTGATGGAAGCTGCAGTCCAACAATATACAGCGCGGCACAGGTTCCCCATCCCTACATTAAAAGATAACACTCAAGATAGCTCCCATCTGCCCTACTCTGCCCTTCTTTGCTTTAAGTGGCTGCATTGTTGTTGTTGTTGCTGTTGTTGTGCTTTAAACCTCTCTTAATTGTTATATTTTGTACTGGTTTTAAAACTTTTCAGTTGTTTTTATATAACTCACCTTGAGACTCATGGGAAGGAGATTCATAAATTAATGAAATAATGGATGGTAGCAAACTAACTTGTCCCATCAAGTTACTGAACTTTCCCTGCTTCTCTCTCCCCCCTCCCCCATGCCCTTCTCAGATCTGCTCCGGAGGGTTGAGGGAACCCCAAGAACAGATTGTGGGGACATACAGGGAAGAGGGGGAGTTCAACTACAGAAGCAGAAATAATTTGTTTTCATTAAGACCCGTGCTCGTCACATGCAGCGCTGCTTCCATTCCACTGCAGTCTGGCTTCCAACAAAAACAAAAACAAAGTTATTCATCTTGCTATCCACCGTGGCAGAATTTTACATACTTAAGTAATAATAATAATAAGAAGAAGAAGAGTTTGGATTTGATATCCCGTTTTATCACTACCCGAAGGAGTCTCAAAGCGGCTAACATTCTCCTTTCCTTCCTCCCCACAACAAACACTCTGCGAGGTGAGTGGGGCTGAGAGACTTCAAAGAAGTGTGACTGGCCCAAGGTCACCCAGCAGCTGCATGTGGAGGAAGTGGAGACGCGAACCCGGTTCCCCAGATTACGAGTCTATTGCTCTTAACCACTACACCACACTGGCTCATTTCAGTGCAAAGGAAATTGAGTGCAAAGGGAAAGGGGCAGGAGTCATCAATTAACCACCATTTGCAGACTGAAAACAACCACTGATTGTATTTTTGTATTTCCATTCTGGAGATGGAACACATAAGTGAACATCTTTGACATCTTTGCACATAACTCAGACTCACAATCATGCACAGTTCTGGATTACATGGGATGCTTTGCATGTACAGGTACATGTAGGAAGGCCCTGCCACTACAGATGGATATGAAGTCTAGGGCTCAAGGGTGGATTGGCAAGCCCCCACTCCAGTGTGGGGCAAACACTGGAGCATCAAGAGGGCTCCAGTTGACTACTGATTGTGTGGGTTCTATCCAGCTAAGCATTATTAAGCATTAAGTAAGTAAACCCACAAAAATTAATAGGCCAAAGTTAGTCATGGTCATTATTTTCAATGGGTCTAGTCTGAATACAATTAGCATTAGATACAACCCTTTGTGTTTAGTTCTGATTTATTTAGTGTCTCTCCTGAAAGCTTAGCTGAAAGATAAAGAATTCAAGTCATTTTGGCTACCACTCCTAACTGAAAGCATCCATTATCTCTACATCTGTGTGCAGAGTCAGAGTTCTCTGTATTGTTGAACAGAGCTGGCCGTCTTATTGCATTCGAATTCCTTTCACAAAGAACTTGCAGCTTAATTGTTCACTGTTTACCAAACAGTTGCTTTGATGAAGGAAGCAAACTTGGGCTTTACTCCACAAGGTGAACAACAAAAAACCATTGTGTTCCCATGGCCATCCGTGTGTGGGGGAGAAGTGTGATGCAGTGGTTAGAGCATTGGACTAGGACCTGGAGGACCAGAATTCAAGCCTCCACTCAAGTCATGAAGCTCACCTTGGACCAATCACTGTCTACCAACTTAATCTACCTCACGGGATTGCTGTAAGAATCAGAATCGTGCTTGCCCCTCTGAGCTCCTTAGAGGAAATCTGGGATATAAATGCAATAAATAAATAAATGAAGAGCCTGCTCTATTTATGTAGGATTTGTGTAAATGTAGAACCCTGTGCAACCAGGGTGCTACATCACACAGGGAGCTACATAACCCCTTTCTTCTCAAACACATGGAGGGCAGCAGGGCTGAGAAACAGGGATGTGATGGAGAAAGAGAGACCAGCAAATATAGACTCACTCTCCCACTCATGTGAGAAACTGAATACCTCAATAGGTCTATTGTGTCCTCTGCTTTTCAGACACTATATGATTATTCATCATCGCTAATCACACGAAGCGTGCTTCTAGATGGGGCCTTAACCAAGGTGAGATACTGCAAATGGATCGCTTCTTACGCATGATGTTTTGTTGTTTATCGTATTATATGTTATGTACTGAAGTTCTCACCCTGGGCCAGCAGGGGGATACTGTAGATAGTTATGCAAATGAAGGATCGAAAGTGACGTTCAGTGATTGGATAGTTTGTATGCAAATGAAGGATCGAAAGTGACGTTCAGTGATTGGCTAGTTACAGAAAATGGTTACTGTTGCATACTAGTGGAGCTCTATATAAGCAGGCTGACTGAGCTCCTCAGTTCAGTTCTGTTCCAGCTTACAAATAAAGAGCTGCTTTGGAAGAATCGCTGTGTCGTCTGATATGTTCGCCCACAACTTAACATTATATATTCAACCAGAAAGGGTAAATCCACATGAAGGGGAGTGGGCATTTTGATGCCAGTGGTGCTACATGGATGCTGTGAAAAAAATTGCATGCTCATCCCACAATTAAGAAACATTTGGAAGCACCCAAGGCCGCTGCTTCACTGCACAATAACTTCGTTATAAGAAGCCAAACGGGATTAACGGCCAAATTAAGGTAGCAAGTCCTTCTAGCGGAAGCCCCCGTGCAAGGACCATCACTAACACAATTGGGCTTTTCTGCAGTCCCCCCCATTCTCCCCTGTGCCCCCCCCCTGCAAAAAAAGTAGCTCAAGTGGGTCCAGAGAACAGCATGTTGGGGAAGGAGACTGGGGTCATTTGGTCCGGCAGGCTGTAACTCTGGTGCCAACAGAACAATTGCCATAAGGTTATACTGAATTCTTCCCTGTGTGTGACAAATGCACTTTCTATTAGGGAAGGCAGAAATCCTCCTAGTGAGGGAGGGAAGCCCTTTTGTTTTGTTTTTTTTGTTTTCTTACAATTTATGTTGATGGCATTGCTATATATTTTAAAAAGTAATCTCACCAAATGCTCCTTTTATGTTATTAAAGGAATATAAATGTACACCTAGACAAAGAAAAGAGGGAAAACATAAAATAATAATAAATTACAACCACTGCCATATGTGTATACAGTATATGATGTTCAACTTTATGGAGAGTTTTACTCAAAGCAGGGCCATTGAAATGAATGGACATGACTATGTTAGGCCCATTGATTCCAGCTGCTCTGCTCTGCGTTGAATGCCACCCTAGATTTCTTATTCTCATCTCTAAAGGAAATTATGCTTAGCCATTTATCTATGTCCCCCTGAGCTTATTTTTCATTTCAACAATGAAAATGCATCAAATCATATTGAGTTGTATTTACTTTTCATATAACTGATGGATCATGGACTTTCAGACTGCTCCGGCTTATGCCGTCCTCTCGGTCTTACTATCTCGGTAATCTTTGACACGCTTACAACATGCCAAGCTTTATTCAGCCGTTCGCATTCTCTGCTTAGTGGCCAACTACATTTCGGCAGATCTTATTAAGTTCCCAATCAATAGTGTATAGTGCTGCTTAATACTGGCTCGAGACAAAGGTCCATCTAGTCTCACATCCTGTTCTTATGGTCGCTTACCAAGTGCCTATGGAAAGCCCGCAAGTAGGACATGAATGAAACATCCCTCTCCCCACTTGTGCTCCCCACAGTTCCCAGCAACTTGCATTGAGACATGCACATTGTCTCTGATACCAGAGACAATGCACAGCCATCATGACTTGCAGCCCTTCGTTAGCTATTATTATTATTATTATTATTATTATTATTATTATTATTACCCCACCCATCTGGCTGGGTTTCCCCAGCCACTCTGGTTGGCTCCCAACTGAATCTTAAAAACACAATACAGCATTAAACATTAAAAACTTCCCTAAACAGGGCTGCCTTCAGGTGTCTTTTAGAAGTAAGATAGTTGCTTATGGACTGCAAGATCAAACCTCTCCATTCTCAAGGAAATCAGCCCTGAGTGCTCACTGGAAGGACAGGTCATGAAGCTGAGGCTCCAATACTTGGGCCACCTCATGAGAAGAGAAGACTCCCTGGAAAAGACACTGATGTTGGGAAAGATGGAGGGCACAAGGAGAAGGGGACGACAGAGGATGAGATGGTTGGACAGTGTTCTCGAAGCTACCAGCATGAGTTTGACCAAACTGCGGGAGGCAGTGGAAGACAGGAGTGCCTGGCGTGCTCTGGTCCATGGGGTCACGAAGAGTCGGACATGACTAAATGACTAAACAACAACAACAAGTTGCTTATTTCCTTGACATCCGCTGGAAGGGCATTCCACAGGTCGGGCACCACTACCAAGAAGGCCCTCTGCCTGGTTCCCTGTAACTTCACTTCTTGTAGTGAGGGAACCGCCAGAAGGCCCTCGGTGCTGGACCTCAGTGTCCGGGCTGAACGATTATCCTCCATTGATTTGTCTAAACTACATCCTGTGGCCACTACTGTTTTTGTTTAGATTATGGAGTTTGTCTCTTTTTCACCATTCAGCCTTGAAAGTTTCCAAGAGCAGGCCTCTCACTAAGAATCTTGCCCTCTCCACTGAAATCTCTTGCATTTAGTGTTACAAAAAAATGGCATCCTTGTCAATTCTATCGTGTGTTGGGGGACAGTTTCATGTTTCTGCTTTTGCTGTTACCCAAAACTGGCATCAGAGAGATACCTGTTCCAATCTAGGCATGCAAATTCAGGTGTTTTCTCTCCAAAGAAATAGTTTTAAGCTTCAAGAGAGGGTTAGATATTAGCTTCAAGAGAGGTATTAGTACAAGAAGGGTTTACAATGAAGTTCAGGAAATGATGGGAGAGGTGAATGTTTGGAAAAAGGTGGGGAGGTGGACTGGCCATAGGAACAATTCATCTGGTTCTCTTGTCAGTTTTTTGGGGGGGAATCAGTACCTGGCCTAGGTAAAGGTAAAGGTACCCCTGCCCGTATGGGCCAGTCTTGCCAGACTCTAGGGTTGTGCGCTCATCTCACTCTATAGGCCGGGAGCCAGTGCTGTCCACAGACACTTCCGGGTCACGTGGCCAGCGTGACATCGCTGCATCTGGCAGGCCAGCGCAGCACACGGAACACCGTTTACCTTCCCGCTAGTAAGCGGTCCCTATTTATCTACTTGCACCCAAAGGTGCTTTCGAACTGCTAGGTTGGCAGGCGCTGGGACCGAACGACAGGAGCGCACCCCCCCGCAGGGATTCGAACCGCCGACCTTTCGATCGGCAAGTCCTAGGTGCTGAGGCTTTAACCCACAGCGCCACCTGCGTCCCCCAGCCCCTTCTAATTCTTGGGATCCTCTATCTGTGGGAGTAGAATATATAGGAGCAAGCTTACCGAATCATTTCCTTTGTCAAGGTAATGGCTTTGGCTGGTTGGTTAAGTACCGAGATTTACAAATCCAAAGAGGTTGTCATAGAAACAAATGGGTGGGCTTTTCCCAACACCCTCACTGGGTTTAGCCAGAGTTGTGTGTGTGAAAGAGAGAGTTGAAAAGCTGGATGCTGAAAACTAGAGACAGGAAAATGTGTTTGCTCTGTACTGGATTTTGAGAGTCCCTAAATGGGAAGCAAAATCTGTGCAAATGTTAATGCTGTGAACCCTTCCATCCTATGCCAAGGTTGTATATATGTGTAAATAAAACCATATATCCTAAAGACACCACAGTCTCTGCTGACCTTCATTCCTAGGAAACCAAACCCTGAATAAAGCTCAGCCCCATCTGGTGTCTCCTGGAGATTGGGGTGGTACATAAAAATACTCTCTCCAGTGAAAGATTCTCTACTGCTTGAGTTGGAATATATAAAGTCCAGGAATAGTCTGTAGAAAAGCCAGGGAGGGAAAGAGAAGTTCTAGGGCTCTAGGAATTCAAATCATATCTCTTGTCTTTCTTCTAAAGGTTGTTCTTTTCCCAGGTTTACTCCACACCTCCATTCTAACACAAAGCAACAAGCTGCAAAGGGAGCTGGTGGAGACAGCAAAGAACACACAATGGGTTTGTGGGGCAATTGACTGAAATCAAAGAAGGCTAGTTCTGAGTTTTGGGTGGCCTTGGGAGCGTTTGGTATATAAACAGCTATGTAGAAGAGCCCGGTGGGACAGTAAGTGTTTTCTCCCCAAGCACCCAAAATGTGTTTGAAGACATGTCTGGCTCAATTAACCTTCATTCGGTATTGCAGCAAAGCACACGAACAACGAAAGTCTCCCATTGCTCCCATGAGATACCGCTTTGCTTGAGTCATTCTTTTTTTTAACAGTTGGCTTCAATGCGTGAAACCACTGCATTTTGGATCAGATCTGCGGAAAAGGACCAGAGACTCAAGGCCAAGACAGGAATGGAGGACCTGTTGCCCTCTGGACGCGGTTGGACTCCAACTATCATCAGCCTGGCCAAAGATCAGGGATGGTGAGAGATGGAACCCAACAAAACCTAGCATGCCACAGGTTGCTCATCCCTGCTACACACGTTGAATGCATCTTTGAATCTAACATGCAAGATTTTTTTTTAAATGGAATTGTATCAGCTGGTGGAGGGCTGATACTGAGTGGGACCACAGCAAGCAGGGAAGGGGGAATTTAACCCTTTCTTCCCCTGCCACAGTCCTGAAGGCAATCCATCTTCTGCAGCTAGTATTTGCTTTCAGAGGAAATCCGCCATTGGCACCTGACTTCATGCCTGCTCAGATCCCATTTATTCATTCTCTGTCTGTCTGTCTGTCTGTCTGTCTGTCTACCTCTCTCTCTCTCTCTCTCTCTCTCACACACACACACACACACACACACACACACACACACAACACACATCTAATGCAAATCACATTTGTTAAAACCTGCACATGAGATGCAAAGACCATTGAGAAGGGAGTGACAGAGGCAGGCAGAGACACCACCATAGAATCATGGGATTATAGAGTTAAAAGGGATCCAAGCGGTCATCTAGCCCAACCCTCTGCAATGCAGGGCCTGCACCACTCATACTGTTCCCTTCCCCCACAGGGCTGGAGGAACATCATCTACCCTTTGAGAAGGGAGAAGGAAGGCTGGGAGAAGGGGTTGGTTGTGTTGGGTTGGGTTTTATTTTTACCTGCTGGTGAATGATGGGAGAATCATAAAATTGTAAACCTCCTTGGGCCAAAGGGTGATATATAAATGCAGTAAGAAATTTAACATCTAGGAGGCCATATGCCCTGCTTTACAAAGGAAAGTCAACTATTTGAAGGGTTATCTGGTTCAAGTCCAATTTAAAGATGAAACTACTCTAAGGAAGGAGAACAGGGTCCCTACAGGTGGGAGCTTTATTGTGGGTGTATTTTGCAAGATGCTCTTTACACAATAATAGAGCATTAAGGTAAAGGTAAAGGTACCCCTGCCCGTACGGGCCAGTCTTGCCAGACTCTGGGGTTGTGTGCCCATCTCACTCAAGAGGCCGGGAGCCAGCGCTGTCCGCAGACACTTCCGGGTCACGTGGCCAGCGTGACAAAGCTGCATCTGGTGAGCCAGCGCAGCACACGGAACGCCGTTTACCTTCCCGCTGGTAAGCAGTCCCTATTTATCTACTTGCACCCAGGGGTGCTTTCGAACTGCTAGGTTGGCAGGCGCTGGGACTGAGCAGCGGGAGCGCACCCTGCCGCGGGGATTCGGACCGCTGACCATGCGATCAGCAAGTCCTAGGCGCTGAGGTTTTACCCACAGCGCCACCCGCGTCCCCTAATAGAGCATTAGTGGTGGGTTTATTCTGCTTCTCCACTGCCACCACATTACTGCTGCTCAGAGGGCCTGTGGACCACAACAAAAGCAGGACAAAAACAAAACAAAACCCCAGAACATCTGCGGTATAAAAGGATACAGGATTTCAGCAGGAAGTTACAGGTTATGCACAAATTGGAAATGAAGCAGTGTGACCACCCAAAAACTGTTGCAGTTGCAAACAGCACTGAAAGCAGGATCATTTGTGACCCCAGTAGCATCACGAGCATAAAGCATCATGGTGCACGATAAAAAGGGTGTTAAGCAGTTGGACCACAGGCACTCACGTCACTTGGTCACAGCCTTCCCTATAACTAAAACATATTCACTAATTAATATTGGCGTTTTATCCCAGTTTATCAATGTGATTTATTCTTTTTTTTATGTTCTCATTATTATTTTAACGCTGTTGTTTAAAATGAGTGTTTTAATGGTATTTGATTTTGATTTTTAAAAAAATGCAAGCCACCTTTTATTAATTTACATGGGGTTTTAAAACATTCTCAGTAAATTAATTAACTGAGGTCGGAGTCCTAAGAAACTTAGGGATTGTCCACACCTTCATTTACCCCACTGTTTTCCCCCAGGGAAGCCCAACCTTCAGTGCTGAATTGGGTTTTCCAAAGATTGGTGTTTGTTCCGATTTAGCGCTAGAGAGCAGGTTTTCCAAGGTGAAACAGTGGGGCAAAGGCAAAACTGCTGGGACCCATGCCTTGAAAGCATGCGATAAGCAGAAAACTGCTTGGGCCCATGCTTTCTAGGGATAGGGCGAGCAGAAATGTAAATGAGCCCTTTCTTGAGCGTTTAATGGGAGTCACTTGCAAGCAAACATGCATAGGAGTGCAGTGTAAATAAGGCACTGTCATTACTTCAGTTATCTCTAAGTTTCGTACTTCACCCATTTAATGGACTTTGGCGTCTCTAGCTGTAGATCCAAAATTCCTTCGTGGATCACATCACATTTTTCAGGCTCACCACAGCAAGGTTCTGCCAGCCCTCTGCAAGCGTTACTCTGTATAATCTTACACAGGAGATGTGTTATCTGCAAAGCAAACATTGGAAGAAACAGGGTTCGTAGAATCGTGGAATTGTAGAGATGGGAGAGACCCCAAGGATCATCTAGTCCAATGCCCTGCAATGCAGGAATTCTGCCCACAACCGTCCCTGGGTGGGCTTGAACCACCAGCCTTCTGGTTAGCAGCCAGACTAAATGGAATTGCTGGGAGCTTTTCAACATCACTTACCTTGATGTCTGTCTCGCCAGAGTGGTACATGCTCTAGTTATCTCCCGCTTGGACTACTGCAATGCGCTCTACGTGGGGCTACCTTTGAAGGTGACCCGAAAACTACAACTAATCCAGAACGCGGCAGCTAGACTGGTGACTGGGAGCGGCCGCCAAGACCACATAACACCGGTCTTGAAAGACCTACATTGGCTCCCAGTACGTTTCCGAGCACAATTCAAAGTGTTGGTGCTGACCTTTAAAGCCCTAAACGGCCTCGGTCCAGTATATCTGAAGGAGTGTCTCCTCCCCCATCGTTCTGCCCGGACACTGAGGTCCAGTTCCGAGGGCCTTCTGGCGGTTCCCTCACTGCGAGAGGCCAAGTTGCAGGGAAACCAGGCAGAGGGCCTTCTCGGTAGTGGCGCCCGCCCTGTGGAACGCCCTCCCATCAGATGTCAAAGCAATAAACAACTACCTGACATTCAGAAGACATCTGAAGGCAGCCCTGTTCAGGGAAGTTTTTAATATGTGACATTTTAGTGTATTTTTCATCTTTGTTGGAAGCCGCTCAGAGTGGCTGGGGAAACCCAGCCAGATGGGCGGGGTACAAATAATAAATTATAATTATAATTATTATTATTATTACCTTATTTTTATCATCCACCGATGCTGCTTCCAGTATATAGTCCTCGCGTCCATGGAAGTTAATTCTGAAACGTCTTCCTTCACTGTATGCACAGGATTTGACTTGGGGAAACGGGAACTGTTTTTTGATTATCCCTTTCTCTATGTTAAAAATTGTCTTGGTGCTCAGATCAATCTGCGGGGGGAAACAGTGATTTTTCTCGGTGAGGTATTTTTCACGGCCAGTCTTTTCTCCCTAGTGAAGAGCCAACAGCCTCTCCTCAAATTAAGATGCGCAGCCATTTGGGGTTTTTTTTAAAAAAAAAAAAAGACTGAGAAAATGTATCTTTTTATTGATGATAATAATCAAGACAAACATTCTCTTCATCACTTAGTCACCATAACATATTTATTTAAGTTAGTGACCGAATAGAGATTGATTCTGTCTGCTGCTTCCTTATCCCGTTTTCTTGTGATAAATATGCATCGATTTATCATTTTGAAGTGTTATTTCCTTTGAAATTTTCCAGCCTCTTGCTCTACCTAAGGCAAAAACCTCAGCTTGTATGGATGGATATTAGCCAGATGCAAATGCTTGATTCAGTCTAGTACCTTCACTTGCACCATCAGGGAAGGATTTGAGGGCAGATGTCCAGGGGCCCTTTAACAGAAAGGACTCCAAATGCAGCTAGGCTGGCTTGCCTCGTTCTGAAGTGAAGCAATATGCATTGCAATCTAAAAGAGGGAGACCATTAAGTCTAGACTCTGAATACCCTGCTTCACAAAGAGTGGCATGGACACAGGGCTGTTTTCAGCATAGGCGGCCCCAGGGTGCAAAGATCCGCCCGGCATCCATCCGTCCCCGATTGCCCAGTCCCAGGCATGCAGGAAAGTGGAACCGGCCAGCCACCTCAGCATCTCACTGGCTCAGTCACCCCCAAACTCGCGATGCAGAGCACCTCGCAGCAAAAGAGCCCACCGCGGTGCTCCAGCTGACGGGCAGGCTATTTCCTGGACTCAAATCTCCGGCCCCGGACTCTCAGCCTGGCACCCCTGAGAGCCCCGCACCGCTAGCGCCTATGAGTAAGACGGCCCTGCATGGACATACTTGAAGATGTGGGGAGCAGTTGGTGGGGAAGAACATACAATTCCCTCTGTGTTCTCTCTCTCTCCCCCCCCCCCAGTTGTTTGTATTTAGTTGTTGGCATCTGTCTGTCTCAAGAGACAATGAAGTGCACCTCCAGTCAAACCACTATGTTAGCAGCACCAAGGCTGTGCAGTGTGTATGCAGGTCCTGGGCTACCCAGATGACAGCCCCACAGCCTCACTGATGTGGTCAAAGTTTGGCAGAGCAATACATTTGGCAAAAGCACTCGACACACACAGACACCCTATCTGCATCTCCTCTTTGTCTCATTTCCCCCAAAGCTGAACACACATTCGGCTCATTCTTGGAGAAAAATGAAATCTGAAGAATCACTCTAGTATCCCATGCTAGTACATTTTCTAAAAAGCATCCTTCACCAAGGAATATCCTTCACATATTCACTAAGGCACTTATATTACTATACTGCTTCTATTAAGAGGACACTCATTCCTTATGTATCACACCCATTTTACAAATTCCCAGGTAGATAACTAACTTTTACAACTCCCTCCCCTTTTGTCGCTTTGAAATCACTAACCAAGTGGCACCATTCTGTGCGTCAGCCCCAGGGATGGTTAAATCTCTCTACCCACCAAGCCAATACTCAGCGATGCATTCTAAGAGTGACAACGCACACACATTACTTAGTCCTTTTTTATGGTGTGCTGCTAATTCCTAACACTCTTTTGCTGCTCTGTAAACTGCAAATCGCAAATTGCATTTGTTTGACTGTAACTTAGTTACTGATCTGTGGCCATGATAATAATAAAGATTGAAAGATGTACCAATGTGAAGAAAACAGGGATCATTGGAAGGTTGGGTGGGGGTTGTTATCTCAGCTTAATAACTTACACAAGCCTCACTGAATGCACTGGAACTTTACTCCCTCCACCTTCCATAGGATCAGGCCCCCTGCTTGCCTGTTTCAGCAAGAAGGCAAAATGTGCTATGCTCCACCCGCTTAGAAACTACAGCTGAGCAGGCAGCTTCCAAGCGAGCCCCTATCAGCTGAAATCCAGGTGCTTCAGATCTTGGGTGTCAGTCTTCTGCCAAGCCCAGTGGGCTTGTACACCACCAGCCATGCTAAAGGGCAACCTTTTGCTGCTTTGTTTTTGCTTTGATGTTGAAAGCTGAGCCTCCCCACTGAGCTTCCCTGCTGAGCTCAGTCCGGAACTAAATTAACCCTGTATTTGCTGGTGCTTACTATTAGCAAATGAATTATCCATTTGCCATTCGGCTGTGAATACTTGAAGGCCTACTCCCTGCCTTGCAGAGCATTTCCCACCTGGCCTAGAAGGGAAGGACCCCAACTGACTGACTACAACAGCTGAGGTTGCCAAACAGATTCTTGGGCTGGGGTGTCGTGGCTATTGGTGTTTTGCATCTTTATTTTAGTTTCATTCTGATTTACGTGGAAATGCAGTGGTGCCCCGCAAGACGAATGCCTCACAAGATGAAAAACCCGCAAGACGAAAGGGTTTTCCGTCGCGGAGGCGCTTCGCAAGACGAAGTTCCCTATGGGCTTGCTTCGCAAGACGAAAACGTCTTGCGAGTCTCGCCATTCCCCCCCCCCCGCTTTTCCCCCCTTTTTCAAAGCCGCTAAGCTGTTAATAGCTAATAGCGCTAATCCGCTTAGACGCCAATGGGGTTGCTTCGCAAGACGAAAAAACCGCTAGAAGAAAAGAATCGCGGAACGGATTCTTTTCGTCTTGCGAGGCACCACTGTGGTTCAGTTTGTTTTTGTTTTTGTTTTTTTAAGTTTAATTTATTGCTATTGACTGCTTTTGCTATGCTGTATATTGTAAACTGCCTTGAGAGGTAGGCATCTGAAACTTTTCCTGCTGTGGGAATTTGCGAGGGGGGGAGGACAGAGAGGTGGAAAGTTACCCTTGAATTTGTACTCTTGAATTTGGCTGGGCAGCTGCTTAAAGATCCAAGATCGCTTCCAGAGGGAGAGGAGATTGCCAACTCTGCTCCACTCCAGAATGGCTTCCTTCCATTTTCGTTGTTATGTGGCAAATGAATTTATTGTGGTCGAGTTTTACTGGGCAACAGATACATGCACTGAGTACCGACTGACAAGCCATTCTGACTCTAGTTGCTATGCAGAACCTGAAAAGAGGTTAAGGAGTTGATTATGAGTGTACTTCCCAGGACAGTAGTATTTGCAGGCTGTTGCTTATAGCTAGACAAGCCATTATAACACCAGTCGGTTGCTATACTTTCGCACAGTTTGACTTCTGCTTTCCAAGATAGATACCATGCAGAAGCAATCTGATTATCTGAAGGCAACTCACTGGAAGATTATCCAGGATGTATTGCTGACAAAGGGCCAGAATATCTTGTTTCGGTGTTGAAGAAAAGTGATGACATCATGCCTCGCCCTAAGGTACTTTCCACCTCTCCACCAGGGTAATTCTGCTAGGAAATGACCAATGAAAAGCAAGCTAAGGAGGTATCTTCAAACAAAGAATTCCCCTGTGCTGTGAGTTGTTTGCACAGCAGGATACAGTCAGAGATGAAAATCACAGCCAGGAGTATTGACTGTTTCACTCCAGTACACAGCATTGATTTCTAATCATGTGTTGAAAATGTAGTAAGTGGCTGAAAGAGAGAACACACTCCAGGCTGGACGGCTAAGCAGTAGCACTAAACCTACACACTGTGATTTCCTGCCGACTAATTATTAAATACTTCCAAATTTCAGCAGCAAGGGAGGCAGAGCTTCTAATGAACCTGGTGGCAAACAAAGGTTTGGTTGGTAAGCCATTGACTGGAAATTGATTAGGGGTCAAAGTATGAATGGTGAGAAAGGTTCAGTTTTTTTGCTGTTTGTGGGTGTGCATTACAGTGAACATTCAAACTGTGCTGAATGCCAACTTTAACAAAACAATCCTAAATTAATTTTGCGGCTGCCTGATTCTGTCCAAAGATGGATGTGGAAGATGCCTGATTATTACGGTATGATTGCATCTTAAATGGGTTTTCAGTTCCAAGGGTTCTGTATGTACATGAAAATCACATATCCAGACCCTTGGAGCTGCCTCAGTGCTAGCAGATGAGGGGGGAAGAGAGAGAGAGAGAAAGCTAGGGATGCTCTCACAAGAACTCATTGCACCCTTGAGATCTTGCAAAAGCATCACAGAACTAGCATGCTGAGCAAGCCTTGAACTCCACCCCTATCCCTCGGCCCAAAGCAAGGCAGAGAGCTTAAAAGCTCTTTCTGCACCAGTAAACCCAAGCAGGCCCAGTGCAAATAGAGCTTTCAAGGTCTCTGCCTTCGTTGGATTTAACTTGTGCAATTGTATGAAATCGCACAAGTTAAATGTGAGTAAGATGCAATTGTACTGTGCATGAATTTGTTGCAAAGATTCAGGTCAGTTTCTCCTACTACTTGGGAAACGGTGTGAGGTTTGCTGCTTTAGTTCCTGTTACATGTCTTGAAACGCGCATACTGTTTTTGGATCAACACTTTTGACTGCATGCATGCATGAAAAAAATAAAATCCCTGCATAGAAAAAGAGTAAATCAGGAAGAAACGTTTTCATTAGCATGCCTGTTCTGTAGGTGCTGAAATGTTTTAGATGGGAAATTCCATAGACCACCTGCAACTGGAAGTCCAGGAAGAAATTTATCTTAGCAAAGTCACTTAAATAACACAGATGGAGACAAGAGAGAAAATAAATCCTGGTTACACTGTACTGTGGTAACACAGGAAATCTGGACAAAAATATATGATTTGAGGAGACATAAGCAAAGAGGTTTTATCTTTCTTACGTTTCAGGCAGCCATTCAACCAAACACACAGAAGAAAAACTCCCTCAAGGTGCATGCTACCTCAGTGAAGATCACGCCATGCTGCCTGGTCACTAAACACCACCACCTCCACCCTCTTGGGTAGTTGACTAATACTGTGAAGGCAATTAACCCTTAAGTTAAACACTGAATGATCCCTTCTGTTGCACTTCCAACACTTTACCACTTATAATTCAGTGGAAAGGAATGGCCTGGCCCTTTGACTTTGGCAAGACTCATCATAGATATCCATCACCTAACCTGCAAGTTAGAACACATAAATCATCCATAAACTGTTGTGTTTGGAAAAGGGGGAAAGTTACATTTGTAGAGTTACCTGCAAAATCCTTTTCTGCCACCGGTAGCGGTTATATTTGTAGACAATGAAGTTGAATTGCGAGCTGTTTGGCAAGTCCAGGGAATCCTGCAAGAGATTAGCGTACTTGAATAAGTCATTGCTCTCCTTCTGTTCATCTTACTGCACTGTTCCCTTTTGTGTCTCCATGATTTGCAGCACATCTGCCCTGGGATGAATTGTAGCACCTTAATGGATTGATTTTTGGAAGTGTTCAGCATCCACAAATCCTAATGATTTGTGAGCAGTGGGAACTTGGAGCATAAAAGGGAAAGGAAGGGATCTGTAAGCAAACCAGCCAAGACAGATAAAGGGCAGGCCGATAGTTCAGAATCATGCAGAAACAAGGTGTCCCATATTCACAAATCAAAGTTGCCTATTTAATCCTATTTATGTTTGCAATCTGAGTAACTTGGCAAATTGTAAACACTTTCAATAGCTCTCCTAAGAGCTATTGAAAGCTCTCCCGATTCCATGGGCTGCTGTTGGAGCCAATTACTGTGGCTGCTGTATCAATGCAGTGGCGCAATTTTATGTACTGTGCTTGCAACTCAAGCTGACCCGGAGCTGCCAAACACGAGCCATAACTTTCATCGTCAGGTAGGCTGGGGCGACACCACACAGCATGTGCAGCAAACAATTGGTGGAAGCAGCAGCAGCAGCAACAACAACAACAGCAACAACAGCAACAACAACAACAACAGAAATGAAAAGAAGGCTGCAAAAAGAAGGGGGGAGGAAAAGGAACAGGCAATGAACAATGATAATCAGTAGCTGCCATGTATGAATTGCAGCCATGCCTTATTGGCTTTCCCTGTAGCATTTTCCCAAGGAATAGAATATTGAAACAGAGCAAAATCTCAGACTGTTCAGAGCCCCTCTGAGGGATGGATGAGGGGCACCTTGAAAGGGGAGGAATGGCTAAGTTCCAGGGAAGAACGAGATTCTGCATCAGAGACAGTCTTCCTTCTCTCACCAGGCAAGATCCAGATAGATTGAATGCAGCCCTGCCATCAACATGTGGAATTTCTTGGACTGTTGTTTGGGTCCCATTATGTCACCGACTTTGTCCATGGAGTTTTCTTGGCAGGGATACTGGAGTGGCTTGCCGGTTCCTGCTCCAGGTGGATCACGTTTGGTCAAAACTCTCCACTATGGCCTGTCCATCTTGGGTGGCCCTGCATGGCATAGCTCATAGCTTCTCTGAGTTATTCAAGCCCCTTCACCACGGCAAGGCAGTGATCCATGAAGGGTCCGTATAGTTAAAGCTATGGTTTTCCCAGTAGTGATGTATGGAAGTGAGAGCTGGACCATAAAGAAGGCTGATCGCCAAAGAATTGATGCTTTTGAATTATGGTGCTGGAGGAGACTCTTGAGAGTCCCATGATCTGCAAGAAGATCAAACCTCTCCATTCTTAAGGAAATCAGCCCTGGGTGCTCACTGGAAGGACAGATTGTGAAGCTGAGGCTCCAATACTTTGGCCACCTCATGAGAAGAGAAGACTCCCTGGAAAAGACCCTGATGTTGTGAAAGATGGAGGGCACAAGGAGAAGGGGACGACAGAGGACGAGATGGTTGGACAGTGTTCTTGAAGCTACCAGCATGAGTTTGACCAAACTGGGGGAGGCAGTGGAAGACAGGAGTGCCTGGTGTGCTCTGGTCCATGGGGTCATGAAGAGTCAGACACGACTAAACAACTAAACAACATGTCACCGACTGGTTGGATGCGGAGGAATGGTGGGAGGAGCCAGCTTGGGAATCCCCAAGGAAGAAGGCTCAGAGGCCTGGGTGGTGGGATGACAATGAATAATCAGAGGGAGAAGGTTGGGAAAGAGCAGGTGTCAGAAGGTGAAGAGGTAACCGGGCTTAGTGTCAGGGAAGAGCCAGAACGTGCTGCTTCGTCAGTAGCAGGGGAGGTTTCTGAGCAGGAACTGTCAGAAGAGGAAGACAGGGAAATGACGCATGAAGCAGAACAGGGGGCAGAGAGTAGTCAGGCGGAGCAGGGGGTCAGAGATGGAGAAGAGCCCTATAACCCACCAGAGCCGGGAGAAGGAAGTTCAGACTCAGAAAGGGGGGAGGAGCATTCACATCAGCACAGACAAGGAGGGAAATGAAACACGTCTCGAGAGGTTTCCACGCCTACTTTGTTGGCGCCAGAATCGAAAGAAGCCACTCCCCGAATTTGACTCAACAGGTTCGGACACATGATTTTGAACTGTAGCTGTCCTTTTGTATATATGTAATAAAGACTGTAAATATCACATTGAGTGTATTGGAGTGTTACTGCGAAGAGGGAACACCACCTTGACACTTAGTGAGTTGGGAGAGTCTGTGGCAGGGAGATGTGGCAGCTTCTGATTACTGTATAAAATCATACATAAATACAAATAAATAAAATATTTGTTAGTAAACATTGCACGTGGAAGGAAGGTGGGGTACCTTACCGCCCACGTTGCAATCTGCTTTTCTTCTTTTTCTTCTGAATTTTTCTCTCTTTCTGCTAAATCCAGGGCTTCTTCAACGCTCAGTTCTTTGTTTTTCACCATGTTCATAATTTTCAAGATTTTTCCTTGGCTTAGCTTGAGAGAGAGAGAGAGAGAGAGAGAGAGAGAGAGAGAGAGAGAGAGAGAGAAATGTTTTTGAACAATGAAAAATCATTGAGCGGAGAGGACGATGTTCGCCCTACCCACCTGGCAAGTCCGGCTATAGCAAGGCTTGTGACAACTGCATTGGCAGTGTATCGGTCATAAAATTACTATTTCATTCATATTTTATGTTTTATCGACAACTTGCCCAGCAAATATAATCTCCCTTTGAAGCCAAGCAGGAGCCTACAAGATATCAAATATACAGGGCTTTGTATGTTTTTGAAAGACAGGGTGGTAGTATTTGGCGCTCAGATTGCTCTGAGGAAATCTCCCTGGCTTGGCTGAGCCTAGCAAGAAGGAAGGATATCAATTCTGAATGCTTTGTGCCGGAGTCTCTCTCTGCTTGCACAAAGCACTGCATAACAAATAGCAAGAAGCTAAACTGGTAACATCAGATATTTCGAGGGGACACAGCTAGTTTTGTGTATGGAAATGCATTCGCTTCGGGTTTTAGCTGTCTCTGAAACTTGTCGGAAAATGTTACACTTTGCCCATTGAACGTAAATGAAACAAAAAACCAGGGGAAGCTGTTCATAACATTACTCAACAGGGATGTTATTTATTGCTCTTAAATCAACAAACACAATCCTATGGCCCCTGGGAGAGTATCCTGGGGGCAATAGGATTTTGCAGACAATGGAAATCTTTTTTTAAAGGAACAACTTGGCTAACTTACACCCCACCTAACCTTCTGGTCTACCATGGCAAGACCAGCAGTGCTTTGGATTTTTTTTTTTTGGGGGGGGGGTTAATCTGCCTTCAAGTTCCCCCTTTCCTGGCCAGGTAGGATTACACAAAAGAAGTTAAAGGTTATTCAGTAGTCCTTGATGAACTTAGTCTTTGCCAATTCCTGTGCAAAATGACCTCTAATCTGCACATCTTGAAACTAATAGGCAAATCAATATCCACTGGGTTTCACACTTCTCAAGTTTTATTGAGACAAATATTCCTGCCTGTTCAGATATAGAAGAACCCTGTCATGTGGTCCCCAGTCCTCCAACTGGCAAGAGGTTTCAGGGACACAACACTACTTGGGTTGGGTACCCATTGCAAGGTGGCCATTGGAGGGCTACTGGCATCTTGTAATATTTGGGGGGGGGGATGTAACAAGCTTTATTAATAGTCTTACAATACATTACATATATATAGTACATCTCATAGAGTAAATTGAGATTTCGGGCTGAAACAGAATGGATTAGAATAAACACATATTTTAAAACATTTTTTAAAAAGCCCAGAAGCATACTGGAGCAGAATAATAGGTAAGAAACATGCAAAAGTGATCCTGATAATAAATTGATAGATATGTCCATCCCACAGCTTATTAAAAAAAAAAAAGGATGGAACTAGATGTTATCTTGGTAGAGATGTGGTGCCCAGTGGTGGAGCTTCATGATCCGGAGAGCAGGTGGTGGCGGGGCTGGCGCATGTCCTGGGGGCAGGGCAAGGCGTCTGCAAGGCCGTGGTGCCCAGCACCGGGGGGGGGGACAGCCGCAATGGCAACCCTCAGGGATCGCACTGCCGGGGACGGTGCGCTCCTCTTCCTCTGCCAGTGCAGGGTCTCAGAGGAGCATATTTAGGGAAGGATAGAGAGGCAAGAAAGTCTCATTTTGGAGCCTGCATTGGGGGGAAGGTATGAAAATGCAGGGGGCAACATTTCCATGCCAGAATTGAAAAGGAAAGAAGCATCCCTTCTTCCTGCTCCTCCTTCAATTCTTCTCTCAAAGGGAAATCCTTTCATTTAGGTTTGGTAAGACCTCAGTATCAATCTTATAATCACTGAGGGCTTCAACCTTTGAAAGGGGAGCTCAAGACTATGGCTGCAGGCTAATTCTTCATGGTGTGCACAGCCACACACAGGTTGCTTCCAGGCTGCCACTATTTGGGGGGGGGGAGGATTTAATCACATACTTGCAAATTCAGATTGTGCAAAAACATACTTTCTGCAGTAAGTTAAGCGACAGGAAAATGCACTGGGAAGTGTGGGATAGCACTTTTTTGAGGCAACATCATCTACCTTCTCCACAAGCAAATCAGAAATAGATGCTCATTAAATAGGCAATATCATCCCTGCAAACAGAGGATGAATGCTCAGGAAACCACAGCTGCTTATAAAAGCATTCTTTTTCTTTTCTTTTTTTAAAAAAACATTTATTATTATTTTCATTAAACACTACCAACAACAAATGTAAAACCATGCAGAATCATTTCAGCTGCAAGCCCGTACAAAGCAAATCACAGCAAAGAAGCAGGGAAACTATCTACCAGTGTAATATTGGTAAGCACTCTGCTCTCATGCATGCTGTGATTCTTTCTATTGAAAGAATCCTGTGCCTCATGCATTACCCTACTTTCAGTCAACCCCCATTTAGCCTCTCCATGGAGGGGCTTGACAGGCCAGAAGATATAGAGTACACTGTCCCTTCTTTATGAAGCAAAAGAACAGAAATCAAAGCTGCCCCATTTTGAGACACCCTTTAAGAAGAAGAATTTGGATTTGATATCCCGCCTTTCACTCCCCTTCAGGAGTCTCAAAGCGGCTAACATTCTCCTTTGCCTTCCTCCCCCACAACAAACACTCTGTGAGGTGAGTGGGGCTGAGAGACTTCAGAGAAGTGTGACTGGCCCAATGTCACCCAGCAGCTGCATGTGGAGGAGCGGAGACGCGAACCCGGTTCCCCAGATTACAAGACAACCGCTCTTAACCACTACACCCCACTGGCTCTCTTTAAAGCCCTCCTCTGTGTAAGGCGATCCATATCTGTGTTCCAGATGGGATTAATCCAGGTGTCCATCAGGGGCTCCAACTTGGCTTTCCAAGGAGAAGAAGAAGAAGAGTTTGGATTTGATATCCCGCCTTTCACTCCCCTTCAGGAGTCTCAAAGCGGCTAACATTCTCCTTTCCCTTCCTCCCCCACAACAAACACTCTGTGAGGTGAGTGAGGCTGAGAGACTTCAGAGAAGTGTGACTAGCCCAAGGTCTCCCAGCAGCTGCATGTGGAGGAGCGGGGAAGCAAACCCAGTTCACCAGATTACGAGTCTACAGCTCTTAACCACTACACCACACTGGCTCTCAGTCAGTTGCGCTGCGCCAACAATGGCAAAAAAACAGAAGGTTCTTTTTCTAATTGCCACTTCCTTATATTCTCCTCCCTGGGGAGGGATCAGAGCCCATGCTTAGAGTGCAAAAAGTGATGGGGGTGTTATGTATTCAGTGGTCTGTGTTTGCCTGAGCTTGAGTCTGGACTAAGGATTCTGAGCCCCTGTGTTCTGATTCGATACATGATATCCAATCACAGAACATTTCAGGATTTGGGACTTTGACTTATGATTCGCAGCTTGGAAGTTTGGGAGTGGGAGTGTCTGAGGCTGTAAGAAATGTATATAAGCAGTTGCATTGCCCCTGTTGTCCTGTTCTGTTTGTTCTTGCTGTTATTGTTAAGTTGTGGGTGAACATATCAGACGACACAGCGATTCTTCAAACAGCTCTTGTTTATTCACAGGCCAGAACAGAACTGAACTGAAGGGTTCAGCCAGCCTGCTTATATAGAGCTCCACTAAAATGCAACAGTAACCATTTTCTGTAACTATCCAATCACTGAACATCACTTTCGATCCCTTATTTGCATATGTGGACCTGAACTATCTACAGTATCCCCCTGCTGGCCCAGGGTGAGAACTTCAGTACATAACAGTTAACACTGTGTCTTGTCTTGTGGGAACCCACCTACACTTCAGGGGGAACTTCTACCCGTGATCCACAGCAAGTTGGAGTGGAGAATGGTGAGCTAGCTCTGGTGTAAAGCAGACGAGAACAGACGAAGTCCCCTGATGAACTGAGCCAAAGGCCCATCTACCCCAACTTCATGTCCTCACAGTGGCTAATCAGATGCTCATAAGAAGCCCGCAAGCAGCTCGTTTGGACTAGATGATTGCCAGAGTCCCTTCCAGTTCTATGATTTTATGAAACGGAACCTGAGTGAAGTGGCAAACTGCCCAACTTTGATTCCCAGCGACTGATATCCTTTTTCTTAGTCGGAGATCCTCATATGTTGAATTGAAACAGTTCTGCTTCCCTGCGGTGTGACTGCAACATGGAATGGCCTTCTTAATTCTCTTCATAATGTATGAAGACAAAGCATTTTCAGGAAGGAAACAAGTCTCTCTCTCCGCCCCCCTCTTTTGTAGATCGCCCCCCCCCTTTGAAAGATTAGTTATGAAGTTTGCTTACTGCTGTTGGAGGCGTTCCCCAGAGACAGAGGAAAGGAAAACAATGCAGGGGGGAGTTCTCTTAAAAGATGTTGCTTTTTGTTCACAATCTCAGTGCACATTGTAAGCAGATGTTGGAGGGATAAGAGAGTGTTTTGGGGGGGTGTGTGTGTGTTTAACAAAATAAAAGAAGGAAATAACATTTCTGTCGGCGAGATTTCTCAGAATTATTTGCCTGAAGACTTCTGATTTAACTGATCTTTCTGACAGCAATAAATTAATTCAGTTTTTCTTTTTAAAACTTGAAAACAAGTACTTGAAAGGAAGAAGTACGTCCTGACATTTTTCATTTAGCAACTAGATGGTGTGTTTTTCTTCTCCGCTCTCCTCTCCGTTGTGCTCAGAACATTTCTTTTCCTCCCCCAACTGCCCCGTTCTTCAATGGATAACAGGTTTCTTCCAGTGAAATGTCACAAAGACAGATGATTGTTCAGAGGTCTAACAAAATGTGACTGGTGAAACCAGATGTAATGAACCAGACACAGGGCCGCGAACTGAACTCGGTGGCAACTTGTTTTCAATCGAGCAAGCCTTGAACTGTAGCGCCGGGAGGCACCTGAAGGTCTTCTAGCTCAACCCCTGGAAGAGAGGCTGGCTGACTCACACTCAAACCTCATTAACTGACAGGCGATTTAAAGCATCTTCCATGTTGCAGTACAATCTGTCACTTCTGCAGCTCCCAGCCGCATGCATTTCCCATCCCTGCCTGTTCTTTCTCCGACTTTTCCTTACAAATACTTATTTCTGTTAGGATGGCGTCATACACCTCACCAAAAAGAAAAAGACAAAAAGGGGGGGGAGACATCAAGGCACACTTTCCCATAAGCTTTGCTCATTTATATGTACAGGTGCAAATTTAGTAATTATTGCTGTCCTTCAAATAGAAATGCAGTACCTCCCATGCGTAGAAGGCAATGGCCTGTGGGCCAGCTGCTGATTTAGAAGACATCGGAAGACAGCCTTTGTATAGGGAAATTTTTAACGTTTGATGTCTTACTGTGTTTTAATTTGTTGCAAGCGACCAAGAGTGGCTGGGGTAACCCAGTCAGATGGGTGTCATATAAAATAATAATAATAATAATAATAATAATAATAATAATACTTCAAGGTGCTCTCCCATCTAAGGTTCTTTACCTTTAAACCAGACTCAAATCCCACAACCCCTCAAAAAGAGGGCTAACCTTTGCAAAGTAGGACATGCGATCCTCATCCCTTTTTCTCTCTGCCTCATTTCTTTAGCAATCACTTGTAGCTGAATAAGATTGTCTTCCATAAGCATGGTTTTAACAGTGGGTCTGTAAGTGACTGTGGAGGCCAATTCTGGATCCACATGTCCTTCCACAGTGGGGACATAGGTTTCTGGACAGGAGATGATCATGGTGAGGGTTTGCCAAGCGTGCCTTCCTCTTAGCACATTTCTCCCTTTCGTCCTGA